CTGTGTTATCAATTTGGCTAAAATGTTAAACAACTTAGGTGGTAACGTTATGGCCTCAGAAACTAAGGTCAAATTTAAGAATGAAAATGCGTTCTTCGACTTTTTATCATGCTTCGAGTTGGGCGCATCGAAAATGATTGAATTGCGAAAACATATAAAGGAGGAGAATATACAAGAAATTTGTAAGTTGTAACAATGTATCATAAATATTCTATTATCAGACTCTTACTAGTCCTTTCTCATTACATAATTGTCATTTTGAAATTGAGAGTCTTGTACTTAACTTTTATTTTAATTATCACGATTGAATCGTATATTTTTAAAAAATGTGATTTAACACATCTTTTAGCAAGATTAATGTATCAAGGACTGATGTATTCTAATGATATGAAAGAAAAATGGCTACAAGCGGCTAAAGATAGTAACATTCAACCATTTGTTTTCATGCGATTGGCATTAATGTATTGGTTGCACAAAGAAGAGGCTGCGTTTTCGGAAATTGAATTAAAACACTTTACACAGCTGCTGCATATCATTTGTTTATTAAACGGTAAATTTTGTCCATTGTTTTAAATTTCTTAAAATATTGAATATCTATAGCACGTGGTATTATGATAGAATTTAATTGATTAAAATTTGACAGATGTGGAAGAAATATGTGTTGAATATAACGAAGTTTCCTCATGGTGGAAAAATGTACGCACTATTCTGACAGAATCTACAAAACCTTTTAATGCGTTTACCGCTGCGTTAGCTTGTAGGGCGACTGCTATGACTCTAGAAAAGTACAAAGAGAAATTGCAAAATGAGAAGCGATTAGGAAATAATGTAAACGAAGAGAACGACGTTAAAAGTGAGAATAATATAACTAAAACTGATAAAATTCTGAACAAACCGAATGATGTCACACCGGACGACGAAACGTACAGTTCAATTAGTGAATGGGAAAATGTCAGTAATGATACCTGTCAATTTGCATTGTTGATCGGGAACCTTGAAGATACTGCCGTTTTGAATGCTGTTATTAGGTATGTATCGTTAATTATCATTATTATTGTTATTATTATATAGGCAGTGCATAAATACATATTATAAACAAAATAAGAGGTCAAGTGTAAAGTAAATTTACATAATATTACAAGCCGTTTCGACCCTAAATGTGGTCATTTTCAGTATACAATAACATTAGTCGAAACGTTTATTGTAATTTTACTTTATAATATAGATAATTTTCACTAATATGATCCAGTGTGTGGCATATGCTTGACCTCTTATTTTGTTTATTTTTAAGTCACTTAAATTTATATGATACATATTATAATTTTTGACTGCTGTGGTAACAAACATTAATCTAATTCTAGTCAACGAGTTGTATTAGATGAAACAACACGATTCTTTACTCTATCATTTATAAAAAACGACACCTCTTTATCATCAATTCTCTCCGGAGGAAGAGGTACAGTTACACGTTTACAAGACATTTAAAGTACAATTACTAGTATTCTATATATTTGGTTCTATGATTCTTACTCGGTTGAATCAGGTTCTGTGTCTGAACTGGTTGCAAAATGGCTCAGCACAACGGGTATCAATCCAGCACGATTAATCGACACGACCGATATAGAGTTCGATCAGTTACAATTACCGGTAGATTCGTTACAATTCACCGATACGAACGAAGCGACTGCTGTTAAAGTATTTCAACAGGAACGAATAAAATTCCTTTCTTTATCGATAGAGAACAAAGCAAAAATTAATACGACTACGGAAGCGTACATCTTAGGCAAGAAAAAAAAAACGTATTTTTATAATACAAAACTATACTCCCTAATTTAACTTCTGTCATAATTTAAATTTTTATATCTGCTGCAGACAGTATGGCCCTACTCAAATGTCATTTCCCATACAGTTTAACGAGTAGCGTTTTATTGGCCAATTTATGCTGGGAGTTTGCCATGTCGTGGGACAAAGATGTTACTCAACTAGATTCATTTGCGGCTGCTTTGACTGTTTTACGACAAATACCTATGAAGAATATGAGACATGGTAAACACACTTTTTTTAATCGTTTTTTTTTTTTCAACAAACTGCTCTAAAATGTTAATATCCATGTCAATTTTTACATGTGCATATACTTTTACGTTTATTCGACAGGTGTTTGCTGTCTGTTATGGATACTTCACATAAAAAAAAGAATGGACGCGGTGGCAAAGTTAATGAACAAACTTGGGAAGTTGCCAAAGGAGAGATTATGTATGCAGGACATCGGTTTATCCGACATTCAAGTAACAACGTTTTTACAGCACTGCATTACTTTCTTGGATATATTTATCGATGTACGTAGAATACTGAAAAATTTATAAATTATTACGTAATAAATGCGGTGAGAAAGGGGAGGAAAGGGGAAGTAAATTATCCGTATCATTAATTATAACAGTTTAACAGTTAATGTACAAATTGACTCATGTTTCCAAGTAGGCTGAGATACTTGAACAAGAAGATAAAGTAGTAATAAAATCGGAAGAATTATGGGATGGGCACTGCGGTGGGCCACAACCGTTTGCCACACTAGCTATCTCCCAAACTCCAGCTTGGTACGACTTGATTTTGCTACACCTACAAGTGGCTAACGTTCTATACATGATGGCATATCTCAACTTGAAAATGCTGAAACCATTAAATAACTTGTTCGAATCCGTGGTAAGTCTATAATAAGATACGATAATTAATTTGTGTGTTATACTTTCAACATTTGATTATTACTCGCCTAGGTACAGCCTTATCTCTTTCAAGACATAACGGACAAAGTAATGCTTACGTGGTACCGAGATGATAAGAGGGACAATATACGTACAGAATTTTTATGTAGAGTAATTACAGCATCGATGGAATTTATTCATTGTGAGACCACTGACGGTGTCACGGTTAGTTCGACACAGGCTATCTCGTGGATGAGCAAATGTCAAATGTTGGCGTCTATTTGGAAAATTAATAATGATGAATTGAGAATACATCAAGCCTGTCAACTGTATATAAATGGTTTCGATCGTTTGGCAGAAGAGGTGAATATATAACAAATTCATTTATTATTCACTTTTGTATGCTTGCGCACACACACACACATCACGGAATACAGATTGTGCCTGGTAAAGGTGCAGGCACGGTTCATGTTGATCCGCAAGGATTCTGGGATGTGATAAGAGAAATTTGGAAACACTTTAACTCACTTTTTTTCTAATTTTAAAGATGAATGAACTTTTTTTATTTATAGTATATTGTATAACAATTAGAGTCGCGAGTTTTATTATATCGGTTTTTGACTTTATCGAAACGACGTCATGGGTGACAGAATGACAGTTTTTAATTCGGAGTGACCTGATGTTGTTTTCATCCTCGCGTTTTTATTAGTTAGTTAATTAGGTCGTCGCGCTCGGATTCCCCGTATCGCTTGGCAATCGGCGCGTTTTAAGTAAATTGCTGCGATCGGATTCTCAGTACCGATCGTGTAACTCAGTTGCTTCCATAATGTTTACGTTTTTCGTTTAATTTCTTTATTTTCTTTTACTTTTTAGATCACTTGTACAATTGCACTCGTGACACTATATGCTATAACATAAAACATCTATTCTATACTTACATCTATTTATAATATGTATACATTGTTAGGTAACTATAACAGTAACCGATATTGAACGCTTGGCTGCAAACTTATTGCCTATAGCTGGAAGAAGAATGATGGCTTATCTCTCAAAAACACCTAATCTTTTGGAAGAAATGTCACGATTGAGCCCAGCGCTTACAACATACTTGGAAAGCCTGGTTAGTATAATGAAAATCTACTGTATTTATCAAATATTCTTGCTAACCATTAAAATTTTTTTTTAGAACGTGCCTGAAATAGTCTATACAAATTGTTCGAATATCGACACTGTGGAATTAATTCGACGAATATCAGTGCATTTGCCTAAAACTCACAGTGATTATCACATTATGTTATTAATGTTAGACGCAACGTTTATTTATGAAGATAATTAACTTTGGATATTGTTAACTATATCCTGTGATATTAGGCAGTAGAAAATTGTGTGCATAAAAATAGAGGAATTTTATCATGTTCTGTATACAACTTGTATATTAATATAACGAAACGAAAATAGGCTTGAAATCATTGTCTTCTATCAATGGAAAGACAATTTCGAACAAAGACGTTTATGCGTAATAATACAAAAGGTAGTGGTAATCAAGCTACAAAGTCGTAAAAGTAAACATACAAATACTTTTCAATGTATTACAGACAATTTAATTGTAAATGGAGTTAACGGAACGAGCGCAATTTCGATACAATTCCATGTCTATAAGCTGCACTCTGTTTCAAGGAGGGCGTGTCTGTATATATAATACTTTATGTTGATATGCTATTATACATCACGAAATATTAACGCGTTCCGCGCTGGACTTTTCATTCAAGCCATTTGACATTTCGGTTATAAAAAAAGGAATTATATAAAATAATTTCTTATATCGTTTACGTGATACATATATGTATATGATATATTGTGATATAATGCAACATTAGGCTTTCTTTATAAGATTTTTGTCATTTTTTTAACCATCGTAAATGTTTTTATGATTAATTATGTTATTTAAGAAAAATGTAATAAATACAAACAAAAATACCACAGTGACACACGTAGTGTAATGGTCAAGTCATTTAAAAATAGCACGATACAGAACATGTTAATTAATTTCGTTCTACAATATATTGAGTTATTAAATTTAAATTATTATAGAAATTTTTTATTATCTACAATTACCATTGTAATTATCAAATGTAACATTCGTTTCGGCTGTGTATCCTCATAAATAATCATGTTTTGAAATTATTTATAAAAGATCTATAATTTATTATAAGAACACATAAAAAATATTTTAATTGTACGTAAAGTATCAAAGTGAAGTATTTTGTAAAATTGTACAACTGTTGCAGATGTTATGAAATTTTTGAACATATCTTATACCACATGCAAATCAAAGTACCTAGGGTGCATTGATATTAGAATTTAATGTAGTATTAAACATACGTGTTCAATTATGCGCTATATTCTTAGAAACGAATCATAAAACCTTGATATTGCTGCTTTGTAACAGTTTCCCAATTTGTAAACTCGCAGTGCTGTATCTCACTACCTGGACTGCCCACTGATGTCAACCACTGTGCCCTGGGAATAAGATTTATTATTTTACACATTATATATTAAAGATATTAAAAATGCTGTTTTGCTAATATAGATAAAGAACCATCAATAAACAAAATCGCTGCTGAGTTTTAAAAAGGTAAAAAGCAAAATTGTTATTTTTTGAGTGTGAAACAGATACATGTATCTTTTTCGTATAGAGTATGGATACAAGCAGATACGATATTTGTTTTCTATTGATAAATTAGTGTATACATTTATAACTTAAAATGAAATAAATATATATTTAATTAATATTCAAATCTAAAGACCATTAATATACGAATACGAAGGCTATAACAGTCTAGCTTGGATCTTAGTTGCTTATATATAATTTCCAGGGTTGGGTAGTACTAAATTAAAAAGTTAAAAGTTAAGTTAAAAAGTTAATTAATTTTAACTTAGTTAACATTTTAGACTCCTAACTTTTTAACTTTATTTAGTTACATTTTATCGGTAACTAATAACTTTTTATTTTAATTTTTTTAAAAATGTCAGACACAATATGAGTCACACGTAACCAACGATACGAATTCCGGCCGGGCAAAAAAAAAAGAAAAAGGAAAAAGGAGAAGAAAAATAGACAAAGATAAATCTTTGGAGCGTAGAAGGAGTGTAACGCCACTTTTCGTGCAATTGTCATGAAGTGTTCAGGAAGTGTAAACTAAGGGCGGATTTACACCTTGACGAAAAAGCAGAAAGCGGAAAAGCAATAGCCAATCAGAACTCGCGCTGGTAGTTGACTTTCTGTTAGCTTTGTACTACTTACTATCAACGCGAGTTCTGATTGGCTACTGCTTTTCCGCGTTTCCGTCGAGGTGTGAACCCGCCCCAATACGACGTTTCGTGCACTTTTCATGAAGTGTTGGGGAAGTGTAAATCCAAGAGTAGAAAATGTGAATCTTTTGAATGTAGAAGAAGCATAGTGTTACGTTCCATCCACTTTTCATAAAGTGTTCGGGAAGTGTGAGTAAGAAATACCTTTGGTGAGTAGAAGTAGCGTAATTAAAACCGTTCGGAATTCTATTTAAGTTTTTTTACACAGGGTCCACTAACATTCGTGAATCGGTCATCAAAATAACGGTTTCCGTACGATTGCATAGCTTCATCACCGTGGATCTGCGTGGATGTTGGTGCACAATTGGATGGATGACCGTTAAAAAAAATAAGGAAATAATCCCGAATGGAAAGTAAACTTCATTCACGCTTTGTCTACGCTCGATCTTCGTTCCATTTAGGCTTGCTAACGCTACATTTACGCCAGGAGGCCAGGATAAAAGTATGATACATATGGTGAGTAATGAAACATCAGAATTCTATAGCCTTAAACTATGCTATGTTACTTTCGGTGTACGCTCGCAGAGAAGTGAAATAACCCTACGCGTTAATGAAGCGTCAGTATATTCCATATCCTTTATACGTTTCGTTAACGCTTCCTTTACTTTTTATTTATGCTCCGTCACGTTTACGCTTGTATGACGTTACATCCGTTACATTAACGCCTGGGCAAGAATACATTATAGAGTGATGAAGCGTTAATGAAGCGTCAGAATTCTGTATTCTTAACGCTTTGTTACTTTCGGTGTACTCTTCCAAAGGAGTGACGTAAACTCTTTGTTAACATTTTGTTTACATTTAGTAATCAAGTGTTTACTAAATGTAAACAAAATGTTAACAAAGAGTTTACTAGGGAAGTCCCTAACATTCTGATGTTCCAATCTACGCTATATTCAAAAAGTTTCATAACGCTGTCCTTACGTTTTGTCTATCGCTCCGATCTACTCTTCGATTATGGCTGCGCTTCCGTTATTCACTGCAAGTACGGAAAATTTATAGTTCGCGTTACGTGTACTATAGATTTTCAGTAGTTGCAGTGAATAACGGAACGCAGCCTACGTCTGATTAACGCTGTATTTTCGCCAGGGAGACCGACTTGCCGACAATTGTTCGGCGCGCAATTTAGAAAGATTACATATATTAGTAATTAGTGTATAAATTCACGCGAAATTATATGTAAGCAACTAAGATCCAAGCTAGACTAGACTGTTATAGGCTTCTATATTTAATGTTTAGCGAAAACGAGAAAGAACGTTCTGCAATACAGTCTCGTGCCATGCAGGAACAAAATAGATCTACGATTGACAGACAAAAAATTAAATTATGATCGATTTCAAGTTTAAGAAGATCATGTAAATTGTTTGATGTATTGATGTATAAATACGTTATTGATATCGTTATTTGTCGTTACCAAATAATGCCGCTGACAAAGTGTGCGTTTTGTACACGATTGCTTCGCACGCTCCGAAAATCCAATTATAAAGCTAATGAAGTGTAGCAGCTTTGTAATTTTCGTTGTTTCATTACAAAGAGAAGCAGGAGGAAGGATGTGTGAGATGGATATGTGTTATTTTGACAACTGTCTCTCATTGTTGTCTCTATGTAGTGTTGAATTTTTTATCAGTATCATTATATACTGCAACTACTTGACTAGCACTATTTCGAGGTGCGGAGGTGTACGCAAAATGTTATCGCATCGTGTCGTATGTATTAAGTAACGTAACAATAACTAATATATGGCTCTTTTTCTCTAATTAAATAGTTTAATTATTTCAGATTGAATTGAACAGATTCTATTTCAATACTTACATTTGATCGACAAGTGCTCGACGTCCTTGCATCTTTCCAAGGATCGTACCAGTTTTACTATTTTTCACCCAACCACAGATTTTCAATTGCGAGCATATATCCCTCACGTACTTTGGAAAATATACACCTGTAATTTTATTGAAGAATCTTTTATCTTTGCTAATAACGAGCTGAATAGTTGTCAAATTCTTAAAAATATGCATACAAATATACGACTATTCTTCTTATATGATACATATACATATTATACGACTGATGACGCGCACAGATCTTTTATAAGGGAGACCGCGGCTCCATGAGTAACGAAAATTTTAACAATAAAGATACATTAAAATGTATGATTTTTAGTCTCAATTTTTTTATGTAATTAAGAGATAATGTCTACTTTAAGATTTATTGAGCATTTTTCATAAATTTTGATTTGATTTTTAAATAAAAATCGAAAAAGAAGAATTTAGAAATGATCCATGGTACTCTATATTTGGGGTTATATAAAAGAATTTGTTTAAAAGAATATAAAAGAATTTTTATTGCCCAATTTCATTACAAAAACTTAACCTAATCTAAATCGATGAGAACCTATAAATTTGCATAGTTTATATTATACATAACCATATGTATAAAGAGATTTAGCTAATTAAATTTTTATCATAAAGACGCGTAAAATACGATTACATAATTTTTTATACACATACGATTCTGACGTTATACAAATTATTTTAAACGCCTGTTGATATATAATCTATGGTGCCCCGATATGTCTAGTATAAGAGGCGATGAAATATAACATCAAAGTAAATGAATGATTATCTGCATTGCAAAGAAAATGTGGAAAGATGTATAGAATCACGTTTGTAACTCGTAATAAATATATATATTATACTTTGTAGAAACAATATATAAGAAATTTTTACTGGTAAAATAATTACTTTCGATCATTACTTTCGATTTTTATTAATATAAATCAATATTTATGAAAAATCCTCAATAAATGTTAACATTAAACATTATCCCTTAATTATATAAAAAGAACTGAAACCAAAAATCTTACATTTTAATATTTTACTGTTTGAATTTTTGTGACTCATGGTGCCCCGGTCTCACCCCTACATAAATATGAAACTTAAATTGTGCATATGAAGTAATATACATTTAAGATAACTGAATTATCAAGATTATTATATGTAAAATTATATGCGTCACAAGAATGGAACAAAAAATTCGTGTGCTATATATATTTGACGTCGATATCAAGATCTAACGTGTGCAAAGTATGAAAGCGCACAACATAACAAAATTAAGTTATAATAAGATGAATGTACCAATTAGCGTCCATGTCCTAATTAGTGACTAAGCACACATATTTATTGAAATTGCAAGGAAATTCCGCAATGCATATATCGCTAGTATTAATTTTTTATTATTCTGATATCAAAGTAGTACATGTTTATATATGTATTTTTATCTATTTTTTACTTAATATCTTATTAGTTGAAGCATATTTAATGTAGATGGATTGTGATTCAAGACAGATGGTGTGTGTAATGGTCACCACCTTGTAAACATCAGTGAAACCGGTAGATGAATTTTTATTTATGAAATTATATCGTAGATACATTTTACTTAAAAAAAAATCCAGAGATTTATTTGAATATAAAAGAAGTTAACGGTAAGTACAAATATACGCAAAGTATATTGTATATCTTATACAAATAATTGTGGTGGACAACAATATGTACCGAAAAAACGTACTTGTCAAATTAATGTCCTACTAGATAAAATAGCTTGAAAAATGTGGTTTTTATCATTTTCGTTAGGAAAAATCTTGTCTGATTTTAACTTACATTCATATTAGTTAAGGAGAGGACACAAATGATGGAGAGAGAAATATAATTAATAAGAATTTAATTAAATTAATAAGAATTTAATTAAATTAAGAAAATTGCTGTAACTTTTTTTTTTCTGCAGTCTATGCGCGATTTTTGCTGCATTTTTGCTATCAATAGCTAATTAGGTAGATCGCATTCTATATCTGCCGCGTTTTTGCAGTCACGACGTGACGGCAGACTGTGCTCGATTTTTGCTGCGTTTTTGCTGTCAGTACTGGTTATGTTAGATTGTGCTGTATTTTTACCGCGTTTCGCTGTCACGATGTGTTAGCAAATAATGATTTGTTTTATTTTTATCGTTGTATTATGTTGGCAGGCTAAGCTGTTAGAAACTAAGCTTAATGAGGAAGCAGCAGCTTGATATCTGCTGTAACATCATGATCAAGTTTGCTGGCATACTGCTGGCATACTGCTAGCATTTTGCTATCTGGGTTGTTTGGCGGGTCATAACTATAAAAAGGTGCACACAATAATTTAAAATACTTAATGCCACTGAGTTCATAGTCTTCATTGAGAAAGTTATTATTTGGGACATTATAATTTCGGTACCAATAGTGACCAGATTATTTCATTAATGTACATACAAAATTTATTTTAGTACAAAAATTGATTTAAGTAAGTGATAAATAAAAGTCATAAACTTAAACATTACTAAAAACCCTATAAAATTATTTAATCAATCATTTAATGAAAAAAAAAAACATTCATTGTAAAATCAAGTCATTATTTTGATCATTCGTTGACGATGAGGAATCGATCATTAATTGGTCAAACATATAATCATTAATTAGGACAAAGCAAAATCGAGCGGACGCTAATAAGTATATTTACATGTAGCAATATATCTGTTATTTTATGAACATGTATAGAGTATTACATGATTATAGCGATGATTTTTAATTGATAAATGATCTAGCTTTCCTATAATCATGAGTTTCTACTTGAAAGCCAAGTTTTCCTTACTTAAATCTCATTCATTACTTTCACTAACCTTACTTGGTCGTTAATTGGTACATTCACCTTATTTATTATCTATATATACGTGAAAGATTGAAATCCGCATATAATTTGCTACATACATAATAAATGATAAAATGATCCATTTATGCAGATCGTAAATGTAACGATTTGCTACAGAGTGAATATATTAATTTGTTGTGGCATAAGTAAGCAGTATGATATACTCACCTTGTACTTTTCCGAAAACCTCGAACTCGACGGACACTAAGGGTTCCTGGCAGAGCAGAAGATCATCCGCCGCCATCCCGTTCAAGGTTGAATGAAATGGCAAAATTTACGTTAATATTTATTATTTTGTAAGTAGTGTTTGTGAAAGAGAAGATAAAATGCGCACAAAGAGGTACAGCTGCAAATTGCTGCAAGGATGAGCAATCTGAACGGTCACACGTACGTCAATGTACGTTGAGCGGATTCAGATACACTAGTTCTCGTTCTAGAGACGCTTCACCAGTTTCACCGCCTTTTTATAACAGCTTCACGATTCACCTTGCTAACTGTTACTGATTCTTATTACGCGCCGCGTCTCCAAATAGATTTCTCTCTTCACCCCACTATTGACATTGATCCAAACGCGATCGATCGACAATCGATCTTTTTGCAGAGACTGATCTACCTATTCTTATCCGACTGTCGCACTTGAAAAAAATAATATAATTATTTCTCTACAGTTATACGGTTCGATACATGATCGACTCGCTATCGTGTATGTCACGATCACGGAAACGCAAGTACTTAATTTACAAGTATGTATTTAACAGTACATGTATATAAATTAGAAAGAAATTAAGTTGTATACTCATTGTATTTTGATATTATCGAGTAATCATTATAGAGAACGCTTTGTCTATAATATTATAGATACATCTAATAAATAGTAATGCGAATAATTGTTACAGTAAATTGAAATATAAATATAATACAAAACAGGAACAAATAATAGTATCTCTCGATTTTTCCTCCTCAAGCGAGGGAGTTGCTATTCATTGTGGAAACGTTAAATATAGGTCAGGGGAGTCAAGCATTTATCGGCGAACTAAGCACTTCCCATCGTGACTACCGCCTATTGTCCCGTCATTACATCCCACATACACGGCTAATTAGTTATTAGTACGCTATGACGTGGTAATTGACGAGCACAAGAGTAAAAAGTACGGGGTGTACAGAATACGAGGGAAGTTACATTCTACTTATAACGATCCTGTTCAATCTATAATCGCCGTTGTTATTCAAGGTCTCACTTGATGCAAAATTCAGTGATACGATATATGCCTTGATAAAATTATTACCAATAAGAGAAATCTAGATCATCTTTCTCGATAAATTATATAGTTTATTACTAGTACAGCGGCGAAGCAAATAGTGAATTTTAAACACAATCACCTTTTAACTTGCAATTACTCGTATTTATTACATGCCGTAATATAACAAAGATCTGATCTCATGAAAAAAATCACTATTGGCAAATTATGATTAACATGAAATTTTGATTAATATTTCAGCTTGTAATAAAGCGTGTATATTTTCGTGTTTATTTCAATCTTTTTATATTTATTCTCCTGCCAAGAACTAAATACATTATATTTCTTATGTGCAGAAAATGTAACTATATATATACATATATATATATTATATACAGGATGTAACTAAAAAACGTATATGGAGCATACCATGAGATATAGGACAAGAATCCAAGTAGAAAAGTTCGGAGTCATTTTTTTATCTGAGCTTTCAATTCGTTGTTATGCGATGTTAAAGTTAGCGAATTAAAAGTCAGCTCCACTCTGCCTTGCTACGTCCCTGTTTTCCTTCTATACCCGGACACTATTCGCTAACTTTAACATCGTATAACAACCAAAACTGAAAGCTCAGATCAAAAAATGACTCAGAACTTTTCTACTTGGATTCTTGTCCTGTATCTCAGGGTATGCTCCACGTTTTTTTAGTTACACCCTGTATGTATATATATATATATATATAAAATTGTAAATTAAACAGACTTTGTAATGCTAAATGGTTATTATACAGTTACATTCGAAAAAAATGAATAAATGCCATGAGTAGTGAATGCATATAGATATTTATTATCAATATTATTTATTCGATAAGTTCCTCTTTTTTCCCCATTCTTCTCCGCCTTGTTTCTTTTTATTTCTATATAGTATATATGATTCACGTACGTGTGTGTGTGTGTGTGTGTGTGTGTGTGCGCGCGTGCGCACGCACGCGCATGTATATGTTGCATTACACACACGCGCGTATGAATATTCAAGATTCAACTTCACATAAATATTCATACGTATTTTTAAATAAATATACAAACTTTCTTGATATGCGTGCGCGTGTGCATGCGTGCGTATGTGCGTGTAAATATGTACGTATATATGATATGTATTAGATTAAATATAATCAATTATACACAAATTTCGTAGATAAAACACTCAACGGCAGCATTAATTCATGTACTTATAAGCTCTTACTTTCTTTGCTTCAATATGGCACACATAAATTACTTATGTATCATGTCACACCATGTCACACGTCTTTTTTTCACAACCGTATTTTCTCCTCGCTCTGTGTATTATCAAAAATATGTTTTATAATAATTCATGAATTAATCGCATTAATCATACTGAGGTACGAGTATACGAGGATAACGTAATTGATTCTGTGTACATATATATATATATATATTAAGTATATACTATTCAACTCCCCCTTTTCCCTAATACAAGAATGGTGTGACCGATTGCAATTCGAGTTTTCAATTCTTCATTGTCACTACAATTATATGTCACTGAGTTACATGAACCTTGATACACATGCGACTTTCTAGTGCGTGAAAAAAATCTATAGAAATTTAACGGTATTTGTTTAAAATGTGTTATCGTAAATAAAACGTGGCGATTTTTTTACTGAACGTTTAATAAAGAAATTTCAGTACGATATAAGATTTGCCTCTGCAAGTCATACAGTAGGATTATATTAGGAATAAATCTGTAGTACAACCGAATTGCATGAGTGTATCATGGTTTTGTAAACCTTAATAGAGATTTTAGTTTTGATTAAACACTATTACTACCTTAATACCTGACAGACCATGCCAGTGGATTGATGGCATAGTATGTCTAATAGGCTTTATCATATTTCTGATAGCAATTTGCTCACAATGTCAGATAATACAAACTTTGTATACAACTTATTGTCCTTTTGCAATCAAAAATTGATAGTAAGCTTTGCTATCAGGATATAATTATCGCACCTTTTTAAAAGACCGAAACTGAAGAATCGATCAAAAATTGATAGAATTATCTGATAAAAAAAATTTCTATAAAATATGCGTTATTTCTTCGTATACAGCATATTGGGTTACAAGATTTCTCTCTCTCGCGCGCGCGCGCACGCACAAAGTACCTAGGCTGTTTGTTTTTACTGCCAATAGCAACAAATGTATAGTTTACGTTACGTTTTCACTATAGAAGTATATATTTTCAATACTGACAGTCAATTTTGGAACACAACCCCAAATACTAGTAACGAAAATCGACTTTTTGTATATCACTTTTATGAGGGAGAATCTGCATTCACAGGTATAATCGACACTGTGTTCGATAGGAGAGTTCCATTTTCACTGTCCTTTTCATTTACATCGGTATGATCTATCAAGTGCTTCTGCTGTCGCGCTTGCTTCTTCTCGCGTTCGATCTAGAAACGATAAAATAAGCGATAACATTAGACAAAACACTAATAATAAATACTTATGTAAAATCATTTAACTTTGTTCGCGCATTTTATTTCATTAATTATATAAGTATAATACTTATATAGTTTGAAATTTCGAGTCTTATGTGTGACAATTAGTGTAATCAGCAAACCTTAAAGAATAGACGAAGATAATGGCATGGAAACACAACGCATTGTCCTTTCTCTTCCTCGGCATCTATATAAACGCCACGAACTAGGATAGAATTGCTACAATTGAGAAGGACGAGAAAAACGAAGCAGCCAACGTGAGTAATCCAACAGGACAATTCCAAATTGTCCGGTAGCAGCCAGAGATCTAACGCGTTCCATATGCCGCGCCAGACGTTGACAGTCCCCAGAAAGCTCAGAAAAAGAAATACGTCCGCGACCATCAAGCGTACTAGACCCTGGAGACGCGCGCAGATATACCGCATCAATGGTTGTAGACAAAACGTCAGGGCGACTATAAAATACCCGATAGCCTGAAATTCGGTAACAGTATTACAATAATGTTATTTTTTATTATGGGAAATCGTATACTCGATCGCTACGAATTGATGATGATATTTCTATATTAAATAAGGGAGACCACTAAATTATCTACACGTACTATACTTCTTTAGTGTTCTATTTTTTTAAACACACTAAAGGCGTCAAGATGGTGTACCGAAAAATGAAAAAGAAAAGAAATCCTAATTTTTATACTTTTAACGTGTAACATCTTAAACTTGGCTCTCATCGCATTGTTCTAACAACAAACAATTTTATAATTCGTACATTGATACACTTTATAAGAAACAATTGTTACACGCTTTCGCAAACCACATTTAAAACTAGACGAATTACATTGTTTTTGGATTCTTACTGGTTTGCCGAATTGTATACGACTTCAAACTATGCAAGTGAGATTACATACACATTGTTATATGTATTTTTTATATTTTTTTCATATTTTTTTATGTAATTTTACAATTCTATAATTTTTGAATTGCGATCTTTGTAACATTGAAAATGACCTAATAGAGCTCGAAATGTCTATTATCTGTTTTTCCAATTAAACTACGTAATTTTGACCAAATGATGATTTTTATACTTCATTAAGATTACATCGATATGATAATGCTCTGTTAAAAACTGATATTCAACAAATCTCTTTCTCAAATCATTAGATATATGTAATTTAAGCGCGATCGTATCGATGCGATGGCGCGGATGTGGCAAATATATAACAAATCCTAGATAACGTAAAACATTTCATATGCGTACACCGACAATTGTGCCATGTGCCGCGGCAATCATGCAATTGGCGAATTCAATTATATAATTGAATACTGAGTGTGTAGCGCTATAGCATAGCGCATGTATGTCGTATGTCTGCAATATATATAAAAATAACAAATTATAAGGCTCTATAAAATAAAGTATAATAGAATGAGAGGGTAAAGAGCTAGTAATAACAATCAATTCAAATTTAAAAAAAAAATAATAATCATATGTAAATAAAATAACGAAGAAATTTAATATAATAAATAAATAAATAAATAATATAAAATAAATAATATATACGTTTTGACTCCAATCGGGTCATTCTCAATGTCACATTTAAAAAATCTTTAAACGGTGATTAAGTTGCAAAAATAGCTTTTACAAAAATTAATTAAATTAATCAAATAATAATAAAATTAAATCGTTATAATTCTGATTCCGCATTTCTCACTCTGTTAAATGTTGTAAGTCAAACGTTAATAAAATAAAAAGACCATCTAAGTAATGGTAATAAAATAAGAAATTAATATTAAGTCGCATAAATTTCTAATTATAAATGTATACATATAAATGTACCTTAGTTAAATAACAAAAAAAAGATAAGAGAAGTGTGACTACACTGAGAAAAAAATGCTGTTGATTCAATTAAAATCTATATCACGGGCTGTCACTAACATAGTAATTAATTCATGTATATTTTTATTGATACAAAAACTTTGATTATTAAAACAATAATCAAAACCTTTGTATCAATAAAAATATACATGAATTAATTATTTATGTTAGTGACAGCCCGCGATATAGATTTTAATTGAATCAACAGCATTTTTTTCTTAGTGTATTGTTATCCATTTTTTGATGGCACAATTTACTTTTTTTTAAACAATTTTGCAAATAACTTGATATCGTTAAAGGGACACATCTGAACTTGATGGCTTTATATGATGTAATGTTAAACAGGAAGATATTAGGAAGGGGAAAGAGAATGTATGATGTTAGAATACAAATCTGGTAATGACTCCGTTATCATTTTGTCTATTTATACCATGTATTTGTTTTTTAATATGCACCATCTCAGATATCAATCTTTTATTGTATGAAGGTTCTATATCTAATATCTCTATATTATCCCATTTAAAATCGTGATTTTTCTCAATGCGATGATTAGAAATCACCGATGGAGATTCTGAACCTTTATTAATATCTGAAATATGCTCATGCAATCTTGTCTCTAACTGTCTTTTTGTTTGTCCTACGTAACTAACATTACAATTGTCACAAGAGATCTTGTAAACCACATTTTGATTTTTTGTGTGTTCAAGTTTATCTTTCCCCTTTTTTAATGAAATTTTTCAGTGTGTTCGGAATGGTGAATGGCAATTTACATTTGCACATATTCGCAATAGGTGTAAATTTTTCAGATACCGAACCGACATATGGAATCGCGAAAAATTTCTTTAAATTACCAATACTATTAATATTCTTACTATTACTAATGTGAAATTTAATTCTATTATGAATAGTCGAGAAAATAAAAGATAATGGATATCCATTATTTAAAAAATATTGGTAGCATCTTTCATATTACTTTGCTGAAATGTCGGATAGCACATACGAAATATCTTATCAACCACTCCATAAATGACTCCTTTCTTGTGACAAATTGGATGACGTGAATGAAAATTCAGGAATCTTTCTTTCGGAAAAGATTTTTTTGCGATATCCGTCGAAAATAATATTCTGTTCATGTACAATCAGTAATGTGTCCAAAAAACTTATTTTACCTTCTACTCTAACATCCATGGTAAACTGTAGTCTACTATTTAATGAATTAATAATGTTGAAGATGTTCTCAATGCTATCAGATGGAGCAGCTAAGATGGATAGGATACTAATATATGATATATGTAAAATTTGCAATTTTAAATACTTAAAAATTAAGGGAGTAATAAGAACCTTTACACTTTTTTTCATGCCCATGCTCACTCGTTTATTATTCGAGACCGTTAATCTACAATGTCATCAAACCATCTTTTATTTTATGCAATTTTTAATTTTTTATCACGTAATATATATACATACGTGTGTATAGTGTTGCCAATTTAATCCACGTCTAGTGATATGATGGTATTAATTAAGTGCCTGCGGATTATTTCGTATATGCTGATAATATTAGATAGTGCGTTCAAAATTTTCCTCTTACGGAACGAAATCGAAATGCTTAAGTTGCGTATAATGGTAATCGTAATAATAAAATATATATTTTATGTGATGTGACTTGTTATCAAGTTTGTTATTATACATGTAGACATTAGATGTCGAAATATTTGTTATAAACATTATGAGAGTTAGTTACAACATTCATTATATGTATATAATATTACTGTTGTTCTTGCTATTGTAAATTACAATTAGTGACATAAATGTAAAGAAAAGAATAATAGAGAGAGAGAGAGTAATAGTATAAAATACTAAATGTGAAAATAATTAAGAAACTAAAGCAATATAAACGTGAATGATTTTTGAAACAAATGTGGATTCAGTAATTCTTCAGAAATACGCATTCACGAACGTATGTTAAAATACGTCATCCTATCCAATCTAAATGTAATTTATTTATAAAGTTACGCCCGCGCGCATGGTGAGAGGAGGGGATGCGGTGGATCGGAATTGGTGGAGGTGTGAGTGAAAGGTGAGAGGATATTAAAAAGTTATAATAACGAAAGAGTGAAATATGGTGAAAGAGAGAGATGGTTGGTGGGGGAGGGGGTGCGGTGGGTCGAAGTTGGTGAAGGTGTGAGGGGATGTTAAAAAGTTATAATTTCGGACGAACGGACAGAGAAAGAGACGTTTCTTAATTTTTCATTAAAATCATCACTTTTCGACCGCTTGTCGAAAAGTGATATCTCCAGAACGGCATGACCGATTAAAAATTTTTTTGGTTCAAATTACTAGTGGCGATGCCGCCTTTCAAGACATATAACGTTCGATTCAAAATTTTTTTATATTTTAGTAGTTATGCACCCCCGAAGAATGGTTTGGTGGCTCGAGATAAGAGATTTGTAATGTATATTATTAATCTTTTAAACTAACTTTTAAATTCACTAGTAGTTTTTTTAACATGGCCAGAGACACTACCGCGTCTCCTGATATTTTTCAATTTACAATAACGCATTTTAGAATTGCCTGATGATTATATAATTTTATTATATCTATAAGTGCATTCTATAATAAAAATGCATTCGGATTGAAAAGAATTGTAACGATCGCGAATGCGTATTTCTGCAAAGAACTGAATTCGTTTCAATCCATTCCCGTTTACTGTGAGATATAACACATTTTGCAGAATGCAAAGGAATTGCGATAGCGATAGAGTTAACACAAAAATAATCTGTCAGAAATCGTAAAATTTTAGTATGATTTTGATAGGTTAATTAAATTCAGCTATAATATTCAATGATTCGATATTAAATTTTTCTCAATTCTTTGTTGTTATATATTTGACATATATCGTAATGAACACACACACATCACAAAAAAATATATATTAAAAAAAATATATTAAACGAATGCTGAAATGGCCAAATTATTAACATTGCAGTCGTATAAAAATTTCCGAATTGCGATTGAACAGAATTAAAAATCCTTTTTCAGGCGGAACTAAAATAGACGTAAAGTTAGGAGGTACAGCGATACAGCACCTTACACTAAAATTGTTAATTTTTTTTCGATTTTAGTATAAAGTCCACTGTTTCATCTCCTAATTTTGCGCCTACTTTAATCCTGTAAAAGGACTTTTGATTCTGTTCAGTCAATTCGGAGATTTGATTATCATATCATGCGCAATATCCATAATTACCATATCATGTTATCCTTATCTAATTAATCTTATCTAATTCTATCACAATATAGTGACTCGATATGAGATGTGCGATGTACTAGGACTCTGAAATAAAGATAAAAGCAATTGAAATATGAAATTTTAATTGCGATATCCAATTAATAAAATCCTTTTTATTTGAAGAAACGAGCACACACGCGCAAATTGGCGTGAGCGCGCGTGTTCATGATGTGTGCTAAGTAATATAATATAATATAATAATAATATATATAATACAATAGTTACATGTATAGCATGCAATTGCAAAACGATATAGGATCAGGGATAATCTTATATTAGGAAGAAGTTAAAGGATTTTGATAGTCGATGTAAAAGGCTTATATTTACCAATGAGCCAAGGGCAGAATACTCGGGGCTTTCTGGAAATAGATAAATGTCGATCAAGATCCAAACTCCTCTCCAAACGAAGACAACCAACGTACCCACGACACCGACACTGAAGGCGCAATCCAATAAGTACAACGACCAGTCCCTCGTATTCTACAACCGTATACAATAGATTACAATATTAACATTATAAATTGTAAAATAATATTAAAAATAATAATAGTAAAAGAGAATCATTAAATGTGTATAAAATTAAATTAAAATTTAATTAAATTAAAATATATAAGATTAAATTAAATGTATAAAATAGAAATTATACGCGCGCGCACAGCAATTCAACCGTGATATCCATCATCATAACGTATTAACAGTATATATATGGTAGATAAAACACTAATATAAAATTTATCTTTACCTTATCTCAAGTTATTTTCTTCCTTCGTTAATATATACGACACACAATATTATGATATTTACACATTTGTAAAAAAGGAAGGATGCAAAAAATACATACAATTACTAAAGTATATAAGTTTCCAAACGATTTTCATCGAGAGATGTTATCATCCTACTTCAAAAATGGTAATATCATGTTATTACGTATTATATTAACGTATCGTGAGAGAGAAAGAGATGAAGACATAGAGAGATCGACCTTATAGAAGGAAAGAGAGATAGAGCAACCTTAAACATGTCATTTCATAAAGTCATTTCCTATTATAGACGATAATACACGAAATAAATATTATAGTATAGTAAGTAGAAAGAAAAAAAAAACCATCGAATTGTACAACTATACGATTTTTAAATGTACGTAATGACAATGTCAATTGTATTAAATTAATGTTTTTCGAAGGTACATACTTGTAATCGTGTCGCGTAACATTCTTTTTTCAATTATAATTACAATTGACAATTATTTTGAAGTAGTAATAAATAAATAGAAAAGATGACCATAATCTGCACATTTTCAATGCAATTACAAACGACAAATAAATTAGCGCACTTGCACACATTGCGCTAATGCGTACACGTAGATTATACAGGCGCAATAGTGGTCGACAGTCGGGGGACTTGACCGGAAACTGCGCTTATATGCACATTGCACACCGATAATACGTGAGCTTGGACGACAGCGACGCGTGTAAATGAGGTAACGTGCAATTCATATAATCGTGATTTACAAGTTATCATTTACAATTTATAATTTATGATCTACGCCAGCAACACCAACAGCATAGTGAGTGCACGGTGCACAGTGAATTCAACAAACAAAAAGGTACTGCAAAGAATTGTCTTTGCGCGTGCTAATGTCCAAGTAACACTGCGTTAATTAATTTTTAACCATCTGTAAATCATACGAATGCGCTATTGGCGCTTTTTCACTTTCAGCTTCTTTCGCATTCCGTTTTCTTCATTTCTAGGACTTAAAACAGTTCTGTCTGTGAAAATTACTCGAGAACAAAGTTGTATATATACATATAAGTACATTGTGTGTGCTACTTTGACCTTAAGAAAATTAGCAAGCACTTTTTACATCATTTTTCCCAAGTTCATTATCTGTCTTGTTTTCTACTTATCGCACAAAACGCACGAATAACTCTTGTAATTAGTGATTATATTGTGAAAATGAATATAATTAATTACAAAAAAAAAAACCAAACAATTCTTGAAACGTGATTTAATCGTTATTATATTGAAATAACTGTAAATTTATTTGTTTTTATCAATCTTAGTTTCACATATTTCAACTAATGCTACTGATAAGTATCATTCGTGTAACATACTCACATGGTATAAATTATAAAATACTATATTAATACTATATTTGCTGAGAAAAGAAGAAGCAAGAAAATAAAAAGTTTCGTTAGCATATATATGTCTTTCTCCGATATATTTATCTTCGATCAAAAACTCGTCGAAATATATTATACTATACATATATACATATATGAAAGAGGTAGATAGCATATAGACAAAATTCTGTCATTAATATGTATTATTAGTATCCAATATTTTATCTTAAATTCTCTTACATATGTTACTACTATTATACTGCACAAATTTTCGATAAGTCAACCCCTGATTTATCGAGATTAATCGATTGCATATAAGTTTTCCATCGCAAACTACTCAACTAACTTTCGTTTAATGTATAAGATGCAATTTCTGTAACTTGTACTCTATTTACGATTAAATAAGTGACTCAATCGTTTAAACAATCGCGATCTATACTGCAATTTGTGTTTTTTTTTTACAAATTAGACACTCTCTCTCTCTCTCTCTCTCTCTCTCGACGTAATATTTATTCATGACTAGATTACACAATTGCGAGTGTAATCTTACGCAGATGCGGGTGCATAAAACAGTATCTCGAAATTGAAATTTTAAAAGGAGAAAGATTGGAGCAAAATCATGATTCAATCATAACGAGAATAAGATCTGCAGCCTCGTACGACGCGATTCAAATCCCGGCAAGTACCCTCGGAGAAAGAGATCGTTGACAAGTACTTACGTTGACGCGAAACATAGTCGGCACTTCAAAGTAACCCGGACACGAGTCAAGAATGAGCGAGAACGGGGGCGCGGATACATTACGAACTGCTCGCATAATGCCGAGCGCAAGGAGACTAACGATAGTTGTAGCGAAGACTGTGCCGGGTATTAGCTCCGTATAAATGTCCAGAGCCATCCAGGCACCGCGCCAAGCGTTCACGCAGCAAAAACCGAATACGCCGGTGTAGACTCGTGAGCCGAGATAATAGGATAGCCGATGTTTGTCTGGATGCAGAACATCATCCAAGCCATGTTGCAACACGTTGAAAGCAAAGTGGCCGGTGAAACCGATCGTGATCGACGCGAAGCTACTGAACACTGGTTCGTCCGGGTAGACATAGAAATCGCTGAGTTCCCAAGTGCCACGCCAATAACCAACCACCGCCGGCGCAACTACGAACGCGGAGAATATCGTATCCAAAATTGTCAAGATGGCATAGTGCAGACGATTTGACGATCTGGTGTCTAGACTTCCAGTCATCCTGGCACCAGCCGCACGCAACTCAACCATCCTTACCCAGTCCGGATCGAGCTTAGTAGTCACGCCGCTCGTCATTACGCATCGTTTGCACCCTCGAAATTATACTATTGTGTCGTTTATAGATGACAGAAAAAGATGACAGAAAGAAGATAACTTTGAAAAACGAGCACCAGCTCATCTTGATGCAATCGCGTGTTTAACATTTCGTTTCTGGTATTCTCTCGTGCTATATAACATTCGATTCAGTTTTCGCTTGATGCGCTTCTTATTCATTAAGACTAGCTTTCGTCATCATCGTTGTCTTCGTTGTCATCATCATCGTCGTTGTCGGCGTCGTCGTCGTCGTCGTCGTCGTTGTCGTGACATTGCAAACGAGGCTTTTATCTAGAAAGGACGGTGGCATGCCTTTTTTTGCCGTATTCCTTCATCAGAGTTAAATCAGCTTTTTTAACGCTCTGAAAAAACGTAGATTCGCTCAACGAATCTCATTGAAATTTCTTCCAGTAATGAAGCCATGAAATATATTTTTCCTCGAATATAAATCCGATATCACACAATTTGATTCTTGGCTGCACTCATCAGCGAAAACAATCGCTAGGATTGAAGAGAGAAAATAAAAATTATTCGCGCAACCACTTAGAGGATTTTTTCATCCGCAAGTGCTTATAAGGCCGACGAACAGCCAGTCAGGCAACTTGATCGAGGAATCGGCGACCGATCGAACAACCAGTCAGGCAACAGTCAGGATGACTACTGACTTATCTTCAGTACAATCGCTATCTTTTATCAAGATCGCTAAACGCGCGGGCCAACACTATCGCATTACCGCGAACAACGTCGTCGCTCATACGCGACGGACCACCGGCACGGAGGATAGTACCCGCGGTATGCTCTTCGTTCCCTCCTACGCTGACGATCCCCACCTACAATGCATATGCGTTATAATCGTCTCATTTCGTGTATTACGGTGGCTATCACCGATTAGAACGATCGGTGGCAGCCGATGACAGCCACGCGCGTTCTCCTTAATGATACTCCAAGACTATTCGATAGTATTTTGATCTTCGAACTGACCAAAAATAATCGTATCTAAATCACGACTTTTTTATCTTCCAATGCGCTTAATTTTCTCGCCATCATTTTAGATATTCTAAAAGGATTGAGAGAGTATTATCATTCCTTGAGTAAATATTTCAATGAAGAAACTTGTTATCTACACGGTATTCTATTCCTTAATTGTAGTTACAAAAGAAACGTCCATGTAAACGTATATATCCATAATAAGCTTAAAGTAACATACGCCAAATTATTTTATTGCTGTTAAAAACGGTTAGAAAAATTTGAAAAAAATAAAAATGTCTAGATATTCACTTATAACAAAGGTGAAAGAAATGTTTTTTTTTTTTTAGAAAGAGACATTTGAAATTAAATCGTTAATAGTCATAGAAGAATGACTATGCATTTCAAAAATAGTTTTATCCATTTAATTCCAATAGAGAAAAACATTTCAACTATACAAGAGCATAATTTTTAGTCATTTTGATGTTATTTTTTCTGAGCAATGTTTCCGGTCTCCATTTATCCATTGACGTATTCATTTAGCCATTGACGCTTTAGCCAAAATTATCACTAATCAACTCTTTTTTGTGTATCAATCAAGTTCTTCGGTTACATCTCACCTTCGTGAAACCCTGACTCGTTCCAATAAACCTCGTCAAGGTCATAAGATTCATTGTCATGTCGAAAATGTCATACGGAAAATATTGAAAATAAAATGAATTTCCAATATTTGCTCCATAAACATTTATTTGAAATTATTCGCATCCATATTCACGCAAATACCATTTTCTTACTTATTTTTTATAAATATTTGCGCGTGTGTGCGCAAATATATCGATTATAACCAAAAACTGAGGGGGGGCGGAACCTACTGTATTCACGCGTACACTTTACAACATAAAGCGACATGGAAGTTGCGAACTCATTCGCAAAACAAGAGGTGGAATAAAAGTTGCTTCGCATGAATACAGTAGGTTTCACTACTGTTAAAAATAACTTCAACGCTTAATATCTGAAAAACTATAACAGACCGCCCACCTAGTTGTTAAGGCAAAGTTGCTCAGAATCATGACCTTGACAACATATATCAAGGTCAAGGTCATCGGAGCTGGGTCCCCTAAAGTAAATAATTACTTAAATTCTAGCAAATATTCGACTATCTATCGTGAAAGCTTGATGCTTTCCCTACAAAATTGTTTTTTTTTTTTTAAATCTTATAATTTTTCACTACTGAATTATCGTGAATTAAATAAAAAAGGATCATTTAGACTTTAATTGCTCATAAACTCCGCAAAAAATTGTCGTATCGCAATTTATAAAACAGATTATTAATGTTGAAACTTTAATCTATCAAGATTTCTAGCTTTAATAAAACCCTTTTCTTAAATTTAAATTTCATTCATTATTGACGAAGATATTGTATATACAACTTTGAACAAAAAAAAAACGCCACTTTTTCTCACACCCAATATTTAAAAACAGATTAAATTTTTCTATCATTGCTATATTTGACAATAATATTGTACGTATTTCATTATTGAGAACTTTTAATTTGAGAAGAAACAATTACGTCTAAATTTCACAGATAAAATTACTCATGTTAAACGTAATACAATCGTTATAAATAATCGATAAATTGGGTCAAACATAATCGAAAAATCTGATAACATTTCTTTTACAGATAAGTAATGTTAGTTTATGTCCGTATACAATCGCAGCGTCTGCGTATTATCAATGATGATACTCAGTGAGAACGTTTCGTAAACTTCCAAGGAAAACCGATACATTGAAGACATCGTCGTACGACTTTTCTGTTTACAAAATTGCCAGAGCAGTGTGCTCGTTTGTTTGCTTTCGTCCTATCATATCCACATTTTCAATCGACAAATTTTACGCACGTAATATTGAAGAAACGAATTAGTTCAGTAGAATTAAACTCTAAGAGAGTTTCGCGCAAAAAGTGTAAGTTGACATTTCTCTTCACGAAAATCTTCGGAAGACCATCAGAAAAGAAAAATGTATGCTTGAAACTCGGAACTCGTGTAGGAAGTATAAAAGAAAATTCGAATAATTGCAAAAAGCAGGTCTTTCGCTTATAAAATGGAAACTGTCAATTGTATGGAAAACAGTTTAATATAAAAAATGTAGGTATTCATCAACATACTAAATGAGACGTAAAAAATATTAAGCTCGATTCATTAGTTAAGTAGAAAAAAAATAAAAACCGAACCGATAAAGACCTTTTTTCACTCGCTCTCTATTCACTGAGATTGAAACTTTGAAATTCTCGTAAAGCGTAGCTCTCGTGATGACGAAAAAATCTAGCCCAGAACGAGTCTAAAATGTTTATCATAATACTAAATTTAAAAGTTAGTTTAAAAGATTATAATAGACACTACAAGTCTCTTCTTCCGAGCCACCATTTTGGAAGAATACATAACTACTAAAATATAAAAAATTTTGAATCGAACGTTATATGTCCTGAAAGGCGGCACCGCCACGAGTAATTTGAACTAAAAAAATTTAAAATCAGTCAAGTCATTCTGGACATACAAGCGGTAAAAAAATGATTTTCATAAAAAATGAAGTAACGTCTCCTTCTCTGTCTGTCCGTCCGTATTATAATTTTGTAACGTCCTCTCTCACCTTTCACTCACACCTCCACGAACTTCGACCAACAGCACCCCCTGCCCCCTCCACCCACCACCCCTCTCTTTCGCCGTATTTCACTCTCGTTATATAATATTTTTAAATCATTTTTTTGTATATATTTGTGATATATTTGTACTTTAAAAAGTAAGTGATATCCGAAAAAAATCATATCATACAGTCTGTCTAGTAAGAGCGTAGCAAAGGCTTACCCACAGTCGAGTAAAGATATACTCTGAATTTTTGTTTTCGCCGATAGGTGTCACCTTTGTGCTGTCACCAAAGTACCCGTTGTTGCTTGAATTGTGTTAGAATAAACGATTTTCAAAATAAGTGCTGTCTACGCGTCTCGTTTCGAAACAGTGTTCTTGTGTTCTCATTCAAAAGGACTAAAAATATCCCAATCCGCTGCGGCCAAATATATAGGAAAATCAAGGTTGTTCGTCCATAAATGGGTGCAACGTTATTTAGAGACAAAAACCATGGATGATTTATCAAAACGTGGCACGACATGGACTTATACTGACAAAGATGAAAAAACAGTCGTGCGCCTGTTTCAAAGCAATAGCACGTTGTCTCTGCGTCAAGGACAGGCAAAATTACAACGAAAAGGTTTAAGAATGTCATGTGAAACGATACGACGTTATCTCTATGCTTATGATATAAGTCATAAGATATCGTAGTACAATCCAAAAACCATTATTATCGGAAAAACACATCAGCGCGCGATTAGCTTTGGCTCACGAAAATAAAGACCGCAACTGGAGTAATGTGATTTTTACAGATAAATCTTTTTTGGCACATTGTGCAGTGGAACGATCCTGATTTACTGCCACCAATAGTCCAACAAACTGTTAAACACGCAGTGAAGGTGCATGTTCACAGAGCAAGGATTTGGTCGACTTTATCTCTTTACTGACAACCTGAATACCGAGAAAATGTTAAAAATATACCAAAAAGCTTTGATTCCGATCAACATCTAATAATTGAAAAGTTAAGCAATCGTTTTATTTTTAAGTACGAAGGAATCTGGATTATTGTTATTTTACTATATGTAAGGAAGTGTCAAAGTTTAAATATTTTTGTAACCATACTCATTAATTTTAAGTATTATTTACACTAATGATGATCCGATAAGGGTTATAATGTACATAATTGCTTATATTAAATAGCAACTTAAAATTTAGCTTAGACTTGTAGCCTTTTTGGTAAGTATGGAGTTTAGAGGAGCCCACCCCCAATGACTTTGACCTTAACATAAGTTGTCAAAATCATAATCTTGAGTGAAGAAATTTTAACCGTCGGACCTTACTCATTAAAAAATTATGAACAAAAAGGTTTAAATAAATAATATCTCATTTTTGCTATATAAGTCTATGATTATACTGTTGCACATGAGTTCCGACTTTCCATGTCAAATGAGAGCTACCTCACACCAAAAAATGGGTTGGGTTCACAGACTTCTATGCACTACTAGACTGATAACTTTTTATGTATAAGGTGGCGGAATTTCTATGTACAAACCGAATATATATGTATATATAGATATGTAACTCGATTATATGTTTTAAAAAAATTAAAGAAATAATTTTATGATTAGTGTATATCTTAAAATAAATAATTAAGTAACTAAAATAAGTAACTAAAAGCGACATATAAAGATACGAGCACAATCATTTTGCTTATATATATTATATTTGATAATTGTAAAATATATAATAAAAGCTATGCTTATCAACAAGAGATTTTATTGTTCGCTCGCCTTATGTGTGAAATATTTCATTTTCTTAAAAATAATATCTGTTTTGTTAGTTTATATGACGTTTTCGAATTGGTTTTATTATTTCGTTGTAATAAAATTTTGAAAAGGAGTATATTGGCATTTTTATATATTTATTACATATATTGTTAATATCAATTGAATTTTGTGAGGCATTTCCAGTAAACCTATATTTTCACATTCTAAATTGGGAAATATTTTTTAGTATCAAAAGTAAGAATACTTTTAACTCGGTGTAAAACTTTCTTATCTATATTATTAATATGTAAAGAAGAAAAAGAATCTATTACGACTTGTAGTTTTCTTGCTAATTTAACCATGTGGCATGGATCTAATATGACTTTAATGTTCTTATTAGTTTCATCGTTAGGATATGGAAAGAAATTTTTTATTTGCGTATAATCTTCTGCAAAAATTTCTGCACCAAGCATATTTATAGCACTGCAATTAGATGCATCACCATCAAATGTTATGCTATGTACACGTAAATTATGTTCAGAACATATTACTAGAGTACTTGTAATTAATTTTGAAAGTATTGTCGATGAAGGTTTTTTTTTTTATCAAAAAGTACGCAATTGGCTATTTCCATGATCCTTTCAAAGATACTAATGAAAACACAAGGTCTCCTGTGCTTCTACATCTTTATTTTCAATAGCTACTTGATTACCGTAATCGCAAAATCCGATAAATCTATGTTCTTCTTCATTCCATGTGATTTGCAGTCTGATCGCCATGCTATCGAACATCAAACAGCAGTCCTGTTCTGTTGCTTCTAATTTACTAAGAGCTTGCAGTACTTTTAATTGGAAACCTGGCTGAACATTCATGTTGGACATCCAATTACGCATAGATGATGGATGTGGTAATTTAAAGATAGTCCTAAAAGAAAATATATCTTTTAAAAGATATTGTATTTAAAAATTTATTAAAAAATATGAAATGTATAAATGTGTAACTTGGATTACATATATATTAATTGAAGGCTGCAGTGGGAAATTGATGCACGAGTAATTTATACTTATTCATAGCAAATGTCATTATGGCATTCAATGAGATTTAAAACTTTAAATTTGCTGTATCTTGTTGTATCATAGCACAAACAATACTTATAATACTTTAATTTGAGTTCGTTTTATGGTAAGTGTAAATTAAAGCGCTTTAAAGTTTTTCTTTTATACGACAAATTTGACGTTTTAAATTCGAACGACGCCAAGATAATACGTTGATATAAACGGGCCTTTTAAATTTTTCAAGCAAATGCACACTCGTGTATCTATTATTTTATCGAATAAAGTAGTAAATAGTATGTAATACTTATTTATTTTTTTTAGTGTCGGTGGATATATTTTAGCTATAATTAAAAAAAAAGGGGGGGGCAATGTCGATACAGCCGAGAAATGAATATTTACGTTTAAATGAAAATTCGGCGAAATAACTGAGATAGTGATATTTCCGTTGACCATATCGTGGAATATTATCACGTACTTCACGCCAAATACGTTCTATATTTTGTGTGTGAGTTACTTGTGTCGGGATTTACAAAATTATATTTATGATTGACTGTAGCATGTTTATAGCTTTCATTGTAAATTAGCTAAATCTCGCGTGAGTTTTATTTTTGATTTGCATATTGAGCAATCTATTTCATCTTTAAAAATATTTTTTGCAATTAAATACTCGATAAGAGCAGTATTATTGTTGCAAATAGCCAAAAACTCGTATAGACGCATGATATATTATTATCGATGATGATCATAACACTACTGAATGTCGGCGGAAACTGAAGTGTTGATAGAAGTAAACAAAAATATATATTTACGCAAACACTTTATAACATTCAGTTCTTTACAAACAAATTCACTGCTTTACAAACAATAAATTATTTTATTATTTTTTTTGTTTTTAAAATAGTGAATTTGTTTGTAAAGCAGTGAATTTGTCCGTAAGGCAGTGAATTTGTTTGTAAAGCACTGAGTGTTGTAAAGTGTAGTATGCATGAATACAGTAGGTTCCGCCTCACCTGCGGGGAGGCTCCACTACTGAAAAAAAATAACCAACCCGTTTTTTGGTGTGAGGTAGCTCTCGTTTCGTATGGAAAGTTGGAACTCGTGTGCGAGCGTGCGACTCTTGGCTTATATAGCAATAATGGGACATTATTTCTTAAACTTTTTTTGTTCATAACTTTTTAGGTTCATAATTTTTGAGATCCAACAGTTAAAATTTCCTCAAGGTCTCTCAAGATCATGATCTTGACAACATATATCAAGATCAAAGTCATTTTGGGGGTGACTTTAACTCTATATTTACCGCCTTTTTAATTGAATTTTGCTTTTTTTTGTTATCTTTTTGTTAAAACTAAAAGATATTATAGAAATATTTTCGTTATCTATTGGTATTTTGTGCTGTCTGCGGGAGTGAAGTTTCATGATTATCAACAAATGCTTCAAGATTTAAAAAAATCTCAAAAACTGGAAAAAAGCGAAGATTAAGACACGCGAATCTATGAGATCAATATTCTGTTTGCACGTTTATCGATATTATTATTCGATTATGTCGCGTTGATCATTTTATATTGTAACATTGCAGGAAATAAGTTTGAACAGCGTTTGTTCATACAATAATTTCCGATAATTTAAATTCTATGTAACCATGCACTCATTTAATCGTACATTGGCCTTTTTTAATACAGTATTTGTATAAATGCATTCATATAACTACTACTATTCTTGAAATGTCACAAACCACATGTAAATATAAGTATGTTGCAGATATGTATTGTAAATCTTATCGATCAGAGCGCAGAGAGAGAGAGAGAGGGGGAGGAGGGGGAGGAGAGAGAGAGAGAGAGAGAGAGAGAGAGTGTGTGTGTGTGTGTGTCAAGGAACTAAATTAAATTATTCCATGTTAAACTTACCACGTTGTACCTAGTGGGAAATTGAAAAATGCAACAAGGCGTATCGATGACAATTATCAATGGAGTTGCTATCAAGTTTCGAACGGAACGTAGAATCGCCAGGCACACCAACAGTGAGCATGTCAAAGACATTGTTATCCTATATACGTACATATTAGTATATAAAGGGAAATATCGTAAAAAAGAACATGACGTTAATAAACTACCTGCCACATACATATAATATTATTATGCCCGTTTTGTGCCAACGCCCGTTGGATTGTTCCCGTTTCGAATATTGAAATGAAGAATGCGTTGTCGAAACGACGCTGTCTTTTGTAAACAAACTGGTTGGAAACTGATCTACGCTTCGTTCGGACGAATTCGCGAATCGGTCGCGCGGGCGTAACAATATTATCAATTCAAATCTCCGTTTTCTTTATTTCGATATTAGAGTATCCATCATGTAATTTTTCCCTTCAAATGAACCACCCTGTATACTTTCCACTTTCCATTCACAAATTTCACGTTTCTAAAAAGTTCACGCGAAAAATTTCACGTTTCCGCAGTTTGAAAGTTACATGATCGCCCAGTTCACGTGAAAGTTTTCACTTTTCAAGATTCCGCTCTAGAGGAAAATTTGATCGATACCCTGAGCTATTATGATCGCTATAATAGCGACAAATGGAAAATGTCGCTGAAACATCATCACAATGTTGACTTACTTACCACGTGTGCACAAATAGATGATTATCGATGATGATCCAACTACCACGCCAATGCGCAATGCACGCCACTCCAAATGTGTAAGTATACAGGATTCGCAAAGCTCGATAAGGCAATCGTTTTCGCCAATTTAATTTAGTCCACTTCTTCATGTAAACTTTATGAAATTGATCTTTGAAAATCGTGTACGTTGCATGCAAAGCTGTGCCAAACGTAAAACAAAACCAGCTGGGAAACCTGTTAACAAAATCCTCCTAAATGCGTAATGGACATAAATCTTTAACGCGTTTCATCATCTGCAAATGATTAAAAAAATACATAATAGGTTCTTGACACAAAACGCCTGTGCTGATTCGCTACGTTGTCTCTCTCTCTCTCTCTCTGTCTATATATTATACATAGATATAGATATCTAATATGATTTAAAGAATTCGTTGCATCTTTCAGGTGTGTATCAATAAATGCACACAAGCCAATAACAGAGCACTAGAAAAAAAAAATAAACTCTCTATGTAGAAGTCGCTGTGATAGTATCTTTCGACTCTACGTAACTTGACTGTAGTTAACTCTCGGTATTGCGTCAACGCCATCAGAACTGTTTAACACTTGGCCATATGCCACGTTATAGAGTAAAATGCATAAAACTTGTTGATTACATTGACCAACATTTAATCTGCAATGCTCGATAGAGCATCCATTATTAAAAGATCAGAGGATAAATTCAAACCAACAAAGCGGCTAGATATATATAAGGCATTCCAAGTCAAACCAGGCACTTTTTGATAAAAAAAAAGACTCCAATTCTTTTAAAATTTTACAGACGTATTCTAGACATAAAAAAATGAGACACTTGTTTAGGGAAAAAAATTAAAAAAATGTTTTCATAAAGTTATGCTTACATTTAAGTTTCAAGAATTGACGAAAAACGTGTGTATGTTCAAATGACTGTACCGCCGAAGTGGTAAGTCGTACGAAAAAAAATGCAAGAAATCAGTTTTAAAAATTATAAGTTGTTCTATTCTTTGGTTATTTTTAAATATACATTTGTTTAAAAAAAATATTTTTGTTTACTGTTTATAATTTTCAAGTGCATTCTGTCATCAACTCATCAACTTACAGTTCCTGATACAAATTCATCATATTTGCTCTTCAATTATAATATGAAATAATCCTGAAAATTTCAAAATGGAACTCGAATAAATTGTATAAAATAATAAATTCTTTAAAGATGTATGTCAGAACCTCGAAGTTAATGTCATTGTCGTAATATTTTGCTAAGATGTTCATTAATGTATTTTGTATCTATTTGTGACGTTGCAGTTTCGCTGCAGCGTCGCAGCGACCCTTCGCCGTCACAAAGCGCGAATAGGCGCCTGACCCGGTCCGGGAATTGCGAGCGAGCGAAATCTCCAAGGGCCGCGAATTATAATTTTAGTATTGTTTGCTAATTCTCGGTTAATTTTTTCTTATATAAAATTAATGGAGCCTCGTCGAGCAAAGAATCAGCAGGGCATCACCCGAGGAAGATTGCCGTCGGAGGAAAAGCAGAGGGAAGCGAGCATTCGCGGAGCCGTGATGGATCGAGACGCGATAAGAGCGGGCCGCTTCCGAATTCTGAGGGAAGCGGTAGCCAGGAGGGCGTCCTGCAAGCCGTACTTGGGCCCGAGGTAAGCCATGCAGGAATAAGAGAAAGTGGTCTAGCGGAACGAGAAGAGAGTTTCTGGAGGAACATGATAGCGGGAACCGCCGCGTGCTTTAGAGCGAGAAGGCGAGCAGTCGGAGGTATTCTTGCATATCATTCCGCACCGCGCGCAGATCAAATGTCGTTTCAGCGGCATTTGTCCGCGCACGGTGAGATGAGGTGAGGGGAACAGCAGAAGGCGGAGACGATTCGAAAATTAGCTGAAAGTTACATACACTTTATATATGTTCACTTTGAACTGGCACCTTTAATTAATAATATATCAGTTACTTTTCGTGGTAATATATTATTATTTGATAAAAAGGTTTAAATTTTTGAGTATCTTTCTTTGAACATGCCTTGAACTTTTCATTTTTATTATATGATATGATTTTTTTCAGTACAAATATTCCTACATTTAGTACATTTTATAAAAACTATCAATTAAGACCTCGTTTCCTCTGAGAAAGTCACGCGTCGTCACGAGTTAATCAAAACATCCTATCTGTATATGTAAGTATAACTTCTGTCTGCCTCTCTCTCTCTCTCTCTCTCAAATAATTTTACAATAGGCTTATATTGTATGTTATCTTCATTACAGTATATACAGTAACGCAACTCTCCTGGTTTTATCCAAAACAAAGTGCGCATGCGCGAAATAAGTTGCCCAGTAACGCCATTTAAACTTCTATCTCACTTCTTATCTATTCTCTCTGTCACTCTCTGTCAGGACCATTTAAATATCCTGCGATTGTTTATATACTTAAAAACTCAAATTAAAAGGAAATTAATATAATTGCCGTTTGATTGAGCTGTGTTAGTTTGAGAAATGACTCTAGTTTGTGACTGAAAAGTCTGTAGAAAAATAAAAATTGTGCAAAAGTGAAAAAAGTGAAAAAGTAGAAAAATTTAAGTGAAATGAGGAACAATTTCTCCTAAGAGAATAGTTAATCTATACGGCTATTGTATAAATTATCCATTCTCTTCCATTTTTACACTTTGATCTTAACTTTATTCCAGATATCGCTATATAAAAGAGTAATCCAACAAGAAAACACACATTGTATATGTCGCAGTCTTTAATTAAAATATTTTTACGGTATAATATTTATATTACACAATATTTACATAATTATATTTTCTTATCTTTTTATTTTACAATGCATTATACAATTATGAATCTATTTCTTTTAGTTTTTATTACATTTAGATTAATTTGATGTACATACAAATGAGCTAGAGTAACTAGAGAGAAAGATGGTAAGATGGAAAGTAAAGAGCAAGTGAGAAACAGACGTTACTGGGGAACTTACCAATTTCGCGCATGCACACTCCATTTTAGGCTACATTAACATCAGTACCGACAGAGAGTTGCGCTATTGGCTATACTGTGCTTTCATCGTTGAAATTGATATTTCAACTTCATTCACGCATATATCACAGTTATTTAAATTGACTTTCCTATTATTATACTTTTGTTACTCACAATTCTGCATGACGATCCATGGTCGCCCATACACCCCTCCAAAAGCCAATCGATAAAGGTGCAACGATACTCGTAGAGATCAATGTATCGAGTAGTGAGAACGCTCGTTTTTTCCTTCTCGATCGTTTCAAATCTTCCGATGATCCTTTTATTGGTTTACATACTTTCTCGAAGAGACCAGGGTTCCAACATTTATACGATTTTTCTTCCTACAATACCATAATTGCAAAATTAACTAAAAAATTAAATTATAATATATGCAGATAAAAACGGATGTATTTGCTATAAGTCTCGTAAGTTTACAGAAATTCATCACTAACTCATTTAAAGTTTCATTGAAATAAACAGGGTTGTTACAATTAAATTCTATATCTTGAAATTTTATAATTTTTGTCTGATTTCCAAATAAAATTTCATGATTTCCCTGATTGTTATTAATATTTTGAAATCTTCCGTATTTTTATCTTGATTTGGGGGGGGGAACTATTAAATATTTTCTTAAATCTTTCTATCTTACCAATTCAACATAGCATTGTAAATTTATACATACTATTGATGTTGCTGACACTGTTTGCATTTTTAATTTTCAAGTTGGTAGTATTTCAAAATTATAAGCGCAATGACATATGTATATAATTCGTATATCACAAACATAAATTTTGATTTTCCAAAATCCCCAATCGTTTTCACAATTTCCCTGATTTTCTTAATTTTTAGTAATTTTAGTAATTTTGTGACAATTCTAATAAAATTACGGTGTAACCTTGGAAATATTCATGGACGATACTTGTAGATATTTATTATGTTAAATGTAATGTATATGTATTTAATTCAGCAGAAATAAATAACTTTTTGATCTATATAAATATTAGATTTAGCTGTTATAGAGACCTACCATACTTAATACATATAATTTTACCTTGAAATTATTTTGTATATCTTTATCGATAATTGATATTATCTTATCATTCTCATACTTGTCATCAGCTTCTTCCGTTTCCGTTTTATTTCCACTAGTCATCGTACTAAGCGCAGAAAGATGATCGTTTTCATATTTATCAATCAATGTTTGTTCAATATTGCTGTTTGAACGAAAATGTGATTTTTCTATAATAAATCCTTTGTCGGCAGGCAACGGCGGATGCGATTCCATATCATAGAACATATTTATCCTTTCTTACGGTTATACGGAAGAAAATTCCTTCTTTCACCCGCCGCGCCGACGCAGAGTATACGATGCGTGCGTTGCAACTCGTAAACTGCAAATTTCTACATAAAATCAATACGATACGAATGGAAAAACATACGTATACACTAAAAAAGATATTGTCGAATGGATGTAGAACGTACGATTGCCGCTTTACCGTGCTCAATTGCACTTTATTGCACTCGCTTGCGAAAAAGCGAGTACAAATATTAGCGTCTTCTATTGTGTTAGTCACTTATACTACAAAGTATACATAGTGCATATACGTATATCTTCTAATTTATCTTACAAATAAAATACGTATAAGATATCTGAGACTCGAACTGTCATCGTTTCGTCTATTAATGACCACGGATTCGTGTGCACCATCCTATATTCATATTTTGAATAAAAAATTTGTATACCAGTCGTGATATTGATCACTTATAGATTATAGATTCGATCCATTTCGCACTTATCGTTGTCTAGTTACCGTCAGTTACCCACACTACAGAACTATTACAAAACATTCTCGACAATGAGAGTGACCAAAAAGTGTTTTCTTTCTTCTTTTTTATTTTTTATTTCAAATACAAATTTTCCAAATCTAAGCGTAATATTCCGTTCTTTAACACGCCAAGGATACCATCATCTTCGTCTATATATTACCTATAACATAATTATATTGCTATGCACATTGTGAATGAGATACAGAAAGCAAATAGTCAATCCGTAATTACCGATTCAAGTGGATTACGGATAGAAACGAATTTAAAAAATCAAAAAACTTGATTCAACATCGCTTCAATGAATAATTTCCAATATTTTTCAATAGTTTCTCGTTTGCTGAGATAACTTAACAAAGGATGAATAGTATCCAATACGTCTGAATATACATACGTATATGTATAATGCATATCATATATATAGATATATATATATAATAATCAATACTAAAACGTATTATCAGATGATATATTGAAATGTTATACGTACGCTATGTGAGTTAATTTGATGTACAGCCTGAGATTGTACGTACTTGGTTATAAATACCGTACCATTAACATTCAGGTGTCACATAAACACTAAGTATAAACATACATTTTCGTCGTGAATTTCCGTACATCACACTGAGAAACATAATTCCATGTTCAAAGTAACATAATAAGCGATAAAAAGAAAATAAAACAAGACTCCGTAAATATGTAAAATATACATAAAATAACAGATAAAATATTTAAAAAGTATATTAATGCTTTATATTGATTCTTTGCCTGATCTTGTATTGTTTATGTCGTTTTCGGAAACATAAATAATGCAAGATTATATGGCACAATTGTGTATCTGGACTAAAAACGCTGCTGAAATTTTAATCAAATTCTATATATATTTTATTTTACTGTCATAATTTTACAAAAAAAACTGAATAATAAAATTAAATGTACCACATCATAAATTTTATTGTTGTTATTATCGTATCAGACTTATTTTGTAACAGTCAGTTTTGCGATTTTCTCATAAATTGGCATTATCGATTGTACTTAATTATAAATAAACCCTTCTCTGTAATAATTATTTCAATAAAGCCGATTTGAAAACTTTATTGTAAGCTTTACAAAGTAATTGGTTAAGTTTACGCTCTTTATAAATTTTTGTTACATCATCTTATATTTTCCGCAAACCATGTAAAGAAATGTAAAATTAAGATTCGATGTATATCAAGTTTCATTCTGACGGTATTCAAATTTCTAGGCCGCTCGCGTTATCTGTTTGTTAATGTATCAGTACATTTCTATTTATAATAATTTTATACCAATATAAAATATATATACCATACAAAATATTTCGTAAAGCTGATGATTGTCCCAAACTTCACAAGCGTATAGTATAGCGTTCACGATAATCCTCTACATTTTGAAAATCTGATTTGCCCAAATCTTTTAACTTTGCAGTATGAAAACATTAACACAAAAATTTGTTCGTTTTCCTGTTTCAATACGCTGTTGAAGTTTGATGCAAGTCTTCGTACAGAACTCTTCGTATACGCAAATTCAAGAGACCATCTGAGGAAGAAATCTACAAGTATAAGGTAATATACCATTTGTCTTTAGTATTCGTTCATATGCATCTAATGAGACACTTGCTAAAAAAAAGTGGAGAACATTGTGAACAAAATTTATTTGTTTAAATGGAACGAAAATTACCACACATGTACGTACATTAAAAATAGAAATGCTAGCTGAATTTTCTAATTTTTCCAAAACATTTAAAAAGTACTCGTTTCATTTTTTGATGCTACAAAAAGTTGTAATTACTTCGTATATAAGTATGTATTAAAATTTATGTAATATAACAATGTGCACAATATATAGAAGATATCTCAGACAGTTATTTTAATAGATACGCTTATGCATACGTACACCCTGTGATATAAATTATAAAAAAGAGTTCCACAAGTACACCTTCCATATTGTACATCTTATTATATTTGGGCGCTTTAACAATACCAACAACAAACCTGGCTAGAAATTAGTGTTTAATGTAATGCAGGTCATCGAATATTTTCTTATTGACTTTAATTAATTACATGTAATCACGTCCGCAGATAAAGCACCTGCGCGTATAATAACTGAATATATAACTTTTAATGTTATATATATACATTAAATATTGTATGTTGCGTTGTGTGTAATTAGAATTTATTATGTAAGAAATATGTAAATTGAACTTTAATAATTGTACAAATTGTCCGTTACATTTTAATTCGCTGCATTTAACATACTATAATACTGTTAAAACTCATATTATACCGTTTTTTTTTTATTATTCTAGCCACTATTATCCTACTTACCTAAAAATCTTCAAGTCTCTAGTGTATCGTTATGAATTAATCGCTATCCATTGTGGCAGATTCTTTAACCAAACTTTCCTTTAAATCAGATTCGTCTACATAATTATATTTTGAATTCTTCTCTTCTGCAGACTTTACGCACTGAAATGAATTAATAACACACAATTGTAGAAATTAATTTTGCATAAAGATCATAGAATTGACTTTTGCAACAAATTATATTTAATAACTAAATACGAAAAAACAAAATCTATTCTTCTATATATGTGTATATCTCTTTATTGCATATTACCAAGTAAAATATTGTTATAACATTAGAGATACATGTCGAATATATAATATTGAAAGAAATAAAATCAAAATTTTATTTAGAAGAATGAAAGAATGAAATCTAATAATAAGAAGGTTAATCCAAAAGTATGTTTCCCTACTTTAGAAAAAATAGAAAAATCAAGTTTAAAAATCTGAGAAAGTTTATTTTAACTTCAATTATACCAGAAAGTTTGCGAGTTATCGCCGTGTCTTTCTTCATTATTGATGTCAACGTTTCGTGAACCATGCCGTTCACTTCATCAGGGTAAGGGGTGCGCTGATACTTTATTTTAACTTATTACACTTTGGTTGTTAAAGAAAAATCGACATTTTTTCTACGTGTTGTATCGTGGAAAAGTTTTTTTAATACCTTATGTGTGTTTATTTTTTCACGAACAATCCATGATCAATTCAAAAATAAGTTTCTCTCTACTTTTTTTCACTTAAGAAACGTTAAGAAACCTGAGCAGATTACACTGAGTATCTCCATGTATCATCTTATTCTTGTTGTCCCAATGTTAAACAAGAATAAGAAGAGACACAGGGATATTTGAGTAACATTTTCGAACATTTGAAAAACCTTGAGTGGGAGTTCTCCGAGCCTTAACAACACCCTCTGGATCTTGCTCTAAGCGACTTCCATCTCTTCCACAAATTGAAGCTCTATCTGGGCGGCCAGATAAGCAATAATAACAAGGAAGTTAAGACGATAATTAATGAATAGCTTGCGAAAATGTACACGCTTTGGTACAAACAAGGCGTGGAAAAATATTTTTCGTAATATACGGCAAAATATAGAAAAAAAATGTTGATTTTTTTTTAAATAACCAATGAGTTAAAGTAAATTTTTTTCAGATTTTTAATTTTTGTATTTGTTTTTTCTAAAATAGGAAAAACCTTACTTTTGGACTAACCCTCGTATACATACAATATCAAATCTTATTGGACCGTGAGAGTTTGAACTAAATATCGATGAGAACATGCCGTAACGGTTAACTGGATGTTGGAAGCTCCTAATATAATTTCGTGTGAATTTATATACTACGTATGTAAATTCTTAAATGTGCGCCGAAATTTTTTCGAACTTACAACGCAAACTCTAATAAACTACCGCAGTACTATCACGAGTTAAATTGACTAACAATCTAACAATTTTGATGCTCATAGCATCTTAATAATGTTGAATGACATATTAAAATCTATGAATGACATATTAAAAATCTGTAAATAATTAATTTATATTGCGAAAAACATTACCTCTGGCATTCTGTGCGAGAGTCCTAAGCCTTTAGACTACCAAGACAACAAAATGCTAGAGATCCGGATTCGACTCCCAGGCGAGGTAATATTTTTCGCAATATAAATTAATTATTTACAGATTTTTAATATGTCATTCATAGATTTTAATATGTCATTCAACATTATTAAGATCCAAGATGCTATGAGCATCAAAATTGTTAGATTGTTAGTCAATTTAACTCATGATAGTACTGTAGTAGTTTATTAGAGTTTGCGTTATAAGTCTGAAAAAATTTCGGCGCGCATTTAAGAATCTACATACGTAGTATATAAATTCACCCGACACTATAAATTAGAAGCATCCAAGATCCACCTCGTATACATATAAGTAATCGTGAAAATATAGTAAGGTATGTTATATGCACAATATAAAAACTTGTACAAAAATAAGCTAGTCCTTACTTCTTCGATACGTATTCTAGGAGCCATTATTTGTTCAGGATAATGCCAAGGCTTATAATTTGGATTATTAAGTATTTTCCAGCTTGGATAGCCCACAGAGGCTTTATGCAATCTTTTTACCATCTACAAAATATATTTTTGTAAGCAAATATTACATTTATTTGTTTGATACTTGATATTTCTCTATATCTTCACAAGATATCTCACTTTAGGGGCAAATATTTGTGTAACTTTATTAACAAGCCACACAGGTAATTTGCCATGTGGATCCGTGTGCGATACATATCCCAACTCGGAACCGTCTCCATTGCGCGAAGGTCTTACAATATAGCCTTAAATATAATAATACTTTTGGATATACGAAAGAGTATATAATTTAAATTGTATATACAGAATGTTTTCAAATTTGCGCCCGCGAAGTACAAGACGTCAACTTTAAGCTAACAAAAAAAAAAAAAAAACAATTTTTTCCTTTTGCAAAATTGCATCTGACAAGTAGTTTTGCAGAAGAGCAAGTTGAAGTTAACAAATAAGCGCTCTGATCTATGTGGCGCGCAGGGCCGGCGCGCGCTCCTCGTTCACTTGTCAACTTAATCCTAATATGCTTTGTTGAACGTTCTATTCTTTTAAATATTACACAATTGCGTATGGTAGTTAAATATGTAGTATCACTAAATTTAAATAATAGTTTACTAATTAAAAGACTAACCTTTTTTTGAAGTACCCAAAAATTGATTTATTTACAATAACAAATAAAGACAAAATTATATCATACATACAAAAAGCTAGTTTAAAATTATTAATTATCAAAATGTTATAATACTTACATAATTAACTAAAATCTGAGTAATAATAGTATCTACATCTTTAAATTTATCACATATTTTTGTAGTAATGTTTTGTAGTAAACGCAAGTATGATGTCTTATACTTCGCGGGCGCGAATTTGAAAACACCCTGTATATACACATGTAATGCATAAAACGCAATTTGATTTGCTTTCTAATAATATTATTTTACCTGTGAGGTAAGATGTTGCTCGTACAAAATGTTTTCTAGGTGAATAATCTTTATGATAAACGGAATGATTCAATATCAACTGTTCTATACCAGTATCCAACCAAGATCGTTGAAGAACAAAGTCTCTATTTTTTAATGGAGATGGACATGCCACTAAAATTTATACAATAACAACAACGGGAGATGTAAACATTGAAACTTTAAGATTCATAAATAACGTAATACTTACTGGAATAATATCCAATATCGTTGTTTGGATTAAAAAATCCTATATCTTTTGACTCAATCATATGAGTGTCCCAAACTTTTCTATATTCAGGATCATGTAACACGTCGTATAGTGTTTCTGGTGAAACATCGGAGAACCGCGTTCTAATCTGTAACATTAAGTCATTCGATCTCGTTCGAAAAAATTAATTTTAATACAAGGACATAAAACCATCAATTATGTAAAGGACTAATAAGAGTCAAATAATTAACATGCAAAAATTTGTCAAAAAATGAGCTACATTTTAATTATATACTGATTAAAATTTACAATAAACGCGCGCATTACATGTTTCAGCTGTATGATTCAGCCCTCTTCGGATTTCGGATGCTTGTACAATTCCGTAAATATCTTAAATTAAAATGATCTTATTGTATTTCAAGATCGTAATATTTATATTAAAAAATAATTAAAAATGTAAAAAATGATTGTGATGGACACTTTGGACTTGATGAAAACGTGTAGAAGGGCCAACAATTGACCGACCAATTGATATTATATTTTACCATGTTGATGGAGAAAAAGAAAAAATAAAAAAATAATAAGATTCAGTAAAACAGATCAAGCTGTTAAAAAATCATCAAATTGCCCATAACAAACAAAGCATTAGTGGTCATCATCTCGCAAATGTATCGAAGTCAAAACTAGGTGGTCACATAATTATAAAATGTCAAAACTTAAAATAGAATCGATTTTCCCAACGAAAATTAAACACATCTAACAATTACGATTGTCGGTACAATATTGAAATAAAAGTTTTGGCGATGCAAAGTCAAATCTTGTTTATGATTGGAATATATGCTTTATTTAATCCTTCTGTATCTGTCTGTAGGTTAAGATCGTTTTTCTGCTTCTTGATATTAAGCATTTCAGACACAAGACGTTTTTTCAATAACATGCCTCCTCGTCCAAAATGTGGACATTACACCAATCAAAGTCATGTCCTTGTTGTAGTCTGTGATCAGTTATTACCGATTTAGATGCGCGCGTTTATTGTAAATTTTAATCAGTATATAATTAAAACGTAGCTCATTTTTTTGACAAATTTTTGCATATTAATTATTTGACTCGTTCGAAAAGTAAAATTTATTTACCGATAAAGAACTCACTTTCACCATTTTAAAACTAATTCCTGGGACGGATTTTGTCCAAACAGACAAATCAGGCTTATTATAATCTAATTTCCAATTGTTATTATCATCATACAGCTGCTTCAGTTTCTCGAAATCTTTATCCTCTGCAATTTTGACAATGCCAACATCCATTGTAACAATCTACGTAAAAGCAAAATGATATAAGTAGTGTATACAGGCTGCTCGGAAATTCAACTTACAAACTTTCAAAGATTATCGGGAGTACCAAAAGGATCATTTTTTGCAAATAGACTTAGGGTTGGAAACGTCATTTTATCGCTACGGCAGACAGTGTTCGAAAAAAGTCGGACTTAGCATGAATTTGTCACCATACATGAGATTCAGTGTATATAAAGCGATAATTACTCTATTGTTTGAATATTGTTTGTCTATATTGCTAAGTTTAAACGATAATAATGTACAGTATTTACAGAAATTACAAAATAATGGAACATGTTCAAAAAAGGACACTGAAAAATTTAAAACCTTTTTATCCAATAACAATATATTACCATGAAAAGTAACTGATATATTATTAATTAAAAGTGCCAATTTTCAGGGTAATATATTATTATTATGAATGTTCACTTTGTACTGGCACCTTTAATTAATCCTTTTTTTGACCATGTTCCCTTATTTTGTAATTTACCGCGTCTCCTGATAAGAATGATATTGTGGTGCAATTACAAACAAGAATTAAACATGCTTGATTCTAATTTATGTTAATTAAAGAAAGAATTGAATACAATATTTGTATTTTGATATATAAAATAGTAAATGAAGACTGTATCTGAGTTATTTAAAAAATGAGATAGAGCAAGTAAGAAGAGAGGAAGGAGTACAAATAAGAAAGATTAGAAGAAAATATACATGTTAAAAGATGTAAAATTAGAGAGGAACAGAGAATGTTGTTATATGATGGGTTTAAAATGTACAATTTACCAAATGAAATAAGAAAGGAAAAAAAGATTTAAAAACTTTAAGAGAGCTAGTACCATATATTAGGAGTAAAGAGAAATAGTGTAATATTGAAATATGGGTTGTTTAAGTCTGGCGATGTGAATAATTAGGCATTATATAAGATTGTAACACACAATATAGCTATTTGAGCTAATAAAGATCGATCAATCTCTCCCTCTCTTTCTCTCACCTGATATTTGTTAAGTTTATCAACAGAAGGACAAGACTATCCTTTTTTTATCCATTCAATTTATAATATAACTGTAAATCTATGCACAACATATTATTTAATGAATATTTCAGCATACAATGAATCTTTCTATGTTCCATCTGCAAAAAAAAAAAAAAATGTTTATCACAATATATATTACATATACAGAGTCAAGATTTGAAAGGGGAAAAAGGAATGAAGGAAAAGCAAACAAAGGAAGAGAAGAAAAGGAAAGTGAGGAGATAAAAAGGCCGAATAAGAATAAAAAATATATATGTGATAGAAGATGCATAAGATAGATAACTTTGTAGACTTTGTGGACTGAAATTGGAGCTAATGGTAAGCAATTAAGTTATATTACATATTCCGTTTAAAAGCTCGTTATCCCAGGTATAATCAAACATTGAGAAAACTTCCGAGAATATCTCAGCATGAGCAACGAGCTGTGGTGATAATGTGTTACTTATTAATTCCAAATACCAAGTGACACGTATGAACTAAACGTGTCGCTGACAACATCAGGAATGTAGGATGCAAGCGAACTATCGTATTATTTTCAATAACCACGCAGTAATAACGTATTTTTAAGCATTAATCTTTTTACACTCGAAGCGCACCGATTTTAAACATACACAGTATACAAACGCGTTTTACCGTTATTTACTTGGTGGCTGTGAAAGTTAACAGCTGCATATTCGTTACTACAACAACATCAAACTATTAAATCATGGTGAGAATTTCAAATTTATTGTTGGTTGTTATCACATCGTTGTACCTCTCAAGCCTCCAACTTTGAATTTGAAAACATATTTGGCACGTCAATGTTAATAATAATCGGCTGACGGCTCGTCATCATCAGCTGATCTATGCATTTTTTATGTTAATCAAAATACCGATACCGGAACAAAATCGAGACCATCGTATTGATGTCGCCATATTGAAAATTATAATTCCACTAGAGATTGGGCGCGTTCAGCGGACTCCAACAGTTGAGTGAGCGCTCGCTATTATTGGTGTATTCTTTTAGATCATCCAATCAGAATTTTAGATCTAGAAGAATACACCAATGAACGGTCGTGCTTCTGGACCCATTATGCTTTATACTATGCAAGATCTACAAAACGAGAAGTGCGGATGGAAATAAGAGATTCTGATTGGTCGACTATGCATTATGCAAAAGTCTATGCTGCGGCCTTAACGAATCACAACCCTAGTTGTGAATGTGGCTATGAAATCGAAGATGTGATCACGTTATGTAGCAGTGTAGTAAATATGATGAGGCTAGGTTTCCCCTTGACTTTGAACTTAGGAATAAAGGTATTTTAGATAAAAACATTTTTACATGGATTTAGAGAGGTAGATGGGCAACATGGATTTTTCTTTTGGGAGTTTCTTCTTTTAAAAATATTTATAGCAAAATGTTTTATATACTTTTAATATTTCTGAAATACTTAATTACAAGTTTGATATTCCAAAAATATTTTTATTTTAAGAATCTTCTAAGTATAAAAATATAGATTCCTTTATATATTCCAAAAAGTAAGTAAATTAAGATTAAATTCTGTGCTATAGCTTTTATTTTCCGCTTGTTCGCGCTGGGTGAATTATGTAGGCATAATCAAAGCTGTGTTTCACTTAAGGCTCGCAACGCTAAAGCAACATTAAAGCAAAAAGGACCACTTTTGCTTCATTGTTGAATAATTCGGTCAAAAAAAAATCATACAGAGCTGAACAAAAAAACAAGTTAAAGGTAACGGTTCACACTTTCGAATGCTGTAAACCGAATTTTTATGCGATTTTTAATTCACGCCATAAAACTTCTCAAAGTTAGTAAATATTTTTGAGATTTCACGCACTTTTATTTGTTGTCCACGTAACTTCGTAAAGAATTAATCAAATCGAAATATCAATTACCATTTTCGAAAGTAGAGATTTTAAGCTTTAGAATGCTTTTTTACATTTTTTTTTACGGTTATTTTTGACAAAGTTATTCTTTTTTTAAATTTGCCTATTTTGGGGAGCAGGATAAGTGATGCTTTAATTTTGCTGTGAGTGTATATGTATATATATATATATATATGTATATAATAGTTTATATTATTCTTTTTTTTATATAAATTTTATAATTTCTTATTATAAATTATATTCTATAGTTTTAAATAGAACGTCTCCTGGATTATATAATTACATAGTACTTTTCACCGTAATGTATCAATATAGTAACTTAAATACTTCATATTTTATATTTGATTTTGAAAAAAATTTTGCTTGGGGCACGTTAGTGACCCCCCTCCCCTTGACAAATTTCTGGATCTACCACTGGCGGGGCAGAGAGATACTTTTTTCTGCCAAATTTGTTCATTCTGTGCAAAAACGCACCGTATGAGCTTAATTTCATTAAAATCCGTGAGGTTGTCCATCTTCTTTATAATTACCGTTTTTTAAATTAAATATATAGATAATACACAAATGAAAAAAAAATAATGCTTCTCTGTTTCAGATCAGACCTTTTATGCTTACGAGAGATGTGTCGATATATTGTAGGCGGGAAGGTAATTTTCAAGATAATAATTTAATTCATCCGGAAAGTCGTGAGCCCGATATTCCACGTTATGTGGAACGAGAAGGAGAAAATGCCAATCTCAAACGAGCACGGTATTATTCAAAATTTTTTTTACAATAATTGAATAATCATTTCTACTAATAGTCCAAAGTTAAAAATAAACTTTTTTTGAAGTCTTTTGTTTATATAATGAGTATTATGTCTAGCTTTTGTTTTATTTATCGTCCTTTTAGATTGACATATCAATCTCGTAAACGCGGCATGTTGGAGAATGGTCTACTACTTAGTACCTTTGCAAAGAAATATTTGAATACGTTTGATGATAAACAATTAAGATTATACGATCAACTTATAAATTTACCATCTAATGATTGGGATATATTCTATTGGGCGACTGGTATTAAACCAACTCCACCTGAATTTGATAATGAAGTGATGGACTTGCTGAAAAATCATATTCAGAATAAAGACCGACAGACTAGGATAATACAGCCAGATTTATAAACAATTATATAGCAAATGTTTAGAGATCGTAATGTATAGCAGATATAATAATCTAGACTTTGAATGTAAACTTGTATTAATAGTACAAATCATGATGCAATAAAGAATTGAAAATGTCATTTGAAACAAATTTCAGGTTATTCTAGATATTATTGCATGCATATCTATATATTTTAATTAATTAAACTATAGAGTTGTATACATACAATTTATACAGCTTTATGTCCAAATAATATTTAACAAAATCACATATATCTTAAAAAATATTGAAAAAGATTTATTTCACATACATGTCTGGTGATTATCAGGTTACAAGTTAGATGATTTGTGATGCTTATCAAATTGTTTTATTTAATAAAATGACTAAAACGCCATACAGAGAATTTTAAATACCTAAAGAGACAATGTTCCATTTGACCATGTTGCGTTTGTTATAACCATTCAAATCTATAACCATAATTTTCCAAGAACCTAGTGCTATAAAAAGTTTGGGATCAATCACAATATGATTATCGAACGACTCTCATCCCGAGATATGTACACGGTTTGTGTTTGTACACTATCGCAAATGCCGTAAATAATTTATAATAGAAAAATTAATCAAGCAATGTTCATGTATCTATTAGGATTAGCCAGATATTGTTTAGTTTGACTGAAACTTGCAAGTCCCACATCCTTTTTTGTAGTTGTATTATATTTTGTTGAACCTTTTGATGAACCTCTCGATGAACCTCTCGCTGAACCTCTCGCTGAACCTCTCGCTGAACCTCTCGCTGAACCTCTCGATGAACCTCTCGATGAACCTCTCGATGAACTTTTTCCCCTCCATGCACTGCGAATATAAAAATAATATAATTATATGTATAAAATCCTTTATAAAAAACATACGTACGCGCTTTTTTTTTTTACTAATATACATATATGTACAACCACCTTGTATATTGTATATAACAAGAAAAATAACATATGAACGCATAAATTTCTTTTTACAAAATACCTTGAACCACCTCGTTTATATCTTTTATTAGTACTGTGAGATCGATTGTTCATCTTTCGTTTGTTGCCATTGTTAGTACTACTACTATAAGAGTAATTAGAATCATTGTCATCGTCCCAGGTATTATCGTTGTCATTACTATTCTGATCTTCAGTTTTATTTAACAATTCTAAAAAAAATCATAGAATATACAATCATACAAATAAAGTATTATTTTGTATACTAATTATATGCAAGTATTCTACCAGTTTTTTCTTTCGCGTATTTCTGCGTAATATTTAAAAGAGCTTTGCCATATTTAACAAAGTTAGCCTTAGTGACGTGTGGTATTTGTAACATGGCTTCTTCAGTTTCTGGTAAACGCTGGCTCATAGCTCTAACAGCTACCATATTCATAATAGAAGAAGCAGAAACATCCAATGTACTAGCGATACCCCGTATTATTGTCATCAACTCGGCATAGCAACGATCTTGCAATTCTATTATAATACCATCGACTTTCTTTGTAACTGTTGAAACTGTAGCTACACCAGTAGTAGATTTACTCAATTGTCTCGTTGGGATTTGTACCTTTTCAGAATAAAACAAAGGAATAAAACGCCATAACAAAAAAAAGGTTTCCTGTATTTGCTAATATTTTTTTTGTAAGTATTTTGATACATATAAATATGTATACTTGAATATTAATATCGAAAATAATGTATACTCTAAATTTTAATGCATTCTAAATATCCTATTAAAATTAAATACCTTTACATCTTTTTTTGTCATAAGTTCACTTGCTTTTGGTCCAATTTTTACGTATGCACAAGCAATTTCGTTATTAATATACATAGATTCTTGTAAATATTGTTGCAGTACCATATAATGCAAAAGGCGTTCTATGTCACATTTGTTCCATGATTTTCCACGACCATATAAAGGATGTTTTGTAAGACCTGTAAAATGAATTATATTTTGTCGTATCATTAATATAAATTAATATAAATACTGCAACTTATTTTTTACTTTTATATATATATATATATTTATAAGTAAAAAATAAATTGCGCAGTATTTATATTAATTTTATATATATATATATATATACATAAAAGTATAAACACCTGATTCTCGAATTTTTTTCAGATCACTACCCTTAAAAATGTCTATTAAGAATATTAATGTAAGATTACAACTCTTTCTATTGTTAATATCTCGTACAGCTTTCATAATCTCTTTTGCATCTTCAGTAACATCCAACATTGTAATCTCGGCCTAAAATGATTCATTAGTACTAACTATATTCATTTAGATAACTATATTTTTGTAGTGATAATCATTTATCTAATCCATATAACATACCTTACACCTGCAATTATCACACGCAGTTATTTTATACGAGATACATTGTTGCCTATCAAATATCTCTCCAAAATAATTAAGCTGCAACGATCTACGGCAGTCTGTAGTATTTTCACAAAATGCTACCATCTTAAGTAAATTATCTATGTGCGTACTAATGGCTTGTGGATTTGGATTATCCTGCTCAATCATTTTTCTGATTCTGTACATATCTGCATAATGGTAAAATAAAATACAATCCGCTACTTCACCATCACGACCAGAGCGACCACTTTCCTGATAATAGCTTTCTATAGATTTTGGTAAGGCTGCGTGTATCACAAAGCGCACGTTTGGTTTATCAATGCCCATTCCAAAGGCTATAGTCGCACATATAACATGTATCTGAAAAGTATATATAAAAATATAATTTTATTAAGAATATAATGCACGCGCGCACATAACATATATCTACACATGTATACACTTGAATACTTTAAACTTTTATAGTTACACATAAATCATGAGATGATTTAATAATATAGATACAAGTGTATACATGTGCGCGCGCGTACGTGCATGTATGTGTATTTTTTATTGTAAGTGTTATATAACAATTTTGAATATACTTCATCAGAGATCCATTTTCCTTGACAGTTGCTTCTTTGAGCATCTGAGAGTCCTGCATGATAACTCATTACTTTAATATTATTTTTTTTCATATGTGCAGCGTAATCGTCGCAATCCTTACGCGATAAACAATATACGATGCCACAAGTATTTTTAAATTTCGTCATTATCATAGCTACGATTTCATCAGAACAATTTTTTCCTTTTTTCGATATTATACTGTATCTCAAATTAGGCCTATTGAAACTCGACATAAACCTGGAAAATATAATTACTGATTTTTTTACAGAGATAGAAAATAACGTGTTATAAACTTGTATACCGTCGTCACTTTATCGAGCATTACACATACACAAATACAAAATATACCATTTTGGATTAGTCATGCCCAACTGATACAAAATATCTGTTCTAACACGCGGTGTAGCTGTTGCAGTTAGAGCCATTGTTGGCACTTTGGGATAATTGTCCCTGAGACATTTTAACTTTTTATAGTCAGGTCTAAAATCGTGACCCCATTGACTAACGCAATGTGCTTCATCAATAACAAATCTTGTCAATAATTCTCTCTCGTACAACATAGTCAGAGTATTGCAAAATTTTTGTGAGGCGGAAATTTTTTCTGGTGTCACATATAATATTCTAAGAGCTGGTTCTTTTTTTGAAAGTTCCCTATATATCGCTTCTGCTTGATTATCTGTTATCGAACCGGATAAATGAGCCGCATAAATCTGTAATTTTAAGATTATTTCTCTAATTATGTATCTAATACGTAATAAATAATAAATTCAGGGATAGTAAGTAAAGTGATGACGTTACTTTTTATAACAATTTGATGACATTGCAATTTTTTACGACTGTAACAATAACTAATTAAACGCTAAAGTTGTGTTAAGGTTGAAAAAGTTACTTTGAAAAGTAATATTTGACATCATTACGTATTTACTTACTGAAAAAAGTAATTTATAACGACTAATAATTAAGTAAAAAATTAACTCGTTACACAAATGCCGAGTTAATTTTCGAACTTAATATTATCATTAATTATAAAAAAAGTCTAAATCAATACCAAAATTATTATAAAATATCGATAAGAAAAATAACGACATTACAAATAACGCGTTAAACTATCCCCGATAATAACTTTTTCTTACATCAAGTGAGATAAGTTTTTGAACTTGGTCTAAAATAAGACTTTTTAATGGAGAGATAACAATAGTTAATCCAACGTTTAAAAGGGCAGGAAGTTGATAACAAAGAGATTTTCCACCACCAGTCGGCATTAAGACAAAGCAATCAAATCCTAAAAGTGTCGCATTGATAACTTGCAACTGATTTGGCCTAAAAGTATATAAACCAAATTTCTGCCGAAATATCTAAAATAAAGAAACATTATTAATGTACAATTATAACTATGTTTTTACTATTGGTCTAACACGTAAGCTGTGCGTATGAATTACTTGTTACAAAATGGTATTGTATTTATCTAACAAAATTATAAAAATAAAAATTACTAAATATACTTTATGTACCTTTGACATTTCTTGTGAATGTGAATATGTTAAACCATCAAATTCTCCACTAACACCATCATTTTTATAATTACCGGTAAATTGTCCACATTCCACGTTATTTTTTTCAATTTTTGACTTTGCTTTATCATCAGTGTGACGTACACACTTGCTACTTTGTGCCATATAACTTGGTGACCAATCTACAAGTGGAATTGTTATTTACTATATATTATCAATACAAATGTTCACTAAAGTATGAAATAAAAAAGTATGTATCATATATAAAAATAATATATAGAAATAAAAGTATGTTTCATATGTACAATAAAACTCATACCTGTAAAATCATCGTTCATATCTATATTACAATTTTCTTCTAAAGCTGGAAAATGATCTAATTCCTGTGTTAAGGTTTCAACTTTTGCAGTAAATCTTTGGGTGCCTATAAAATATTTTCTTATTAGAAACTATAAAAAGAAAAAGTTAACAATTTATTCGCATTACCTGCTACATTTCGAGATTTATTTGTATTCATTGTGTTATCTTCCAAACTATCCAAGATGGCATTTCTTTGCATAAATCTACTTTCTTCATTACTTGAATACGTTGGAATACTGTCATGGAGTATTGTATCTTTTACGAAGATACAATCGGAATCCCCTGAAGAATTCAATGTCTTTGACACTTGTTGGTCTTTTTCCCACATTTCTGCTATTGTTTTAGAAACTTGAGTATCTAATACCGTTTTTACAGGTCTTTTTAATTGGAAAGTACTCTTCTTACTTGAGTTATTATTTTGAGCTATAATTTTAGGTGACTTAACTACTGACACAGCTTCCAGATTATTGGATGCTAAATTGTACTCCTTTGCATTTGTTGTATATGATTCCATTACATTTGTTAAACCTTGAAGCTCTATTGGTTTGGGTATTGGCGTACATGAAGCAATAGAACTGTCACAGTCGATCAAGCAACTCTCGGATATACATGAAATTGGCGTGGAAATTTTTATTGTTTTTGACAGTGCAGAGCTAGGTGTTTCTACAGATTCGAATACATTGTTTTCGTCTTCCTTTTGCAATTTTGATAACTTGGTTTGAACTAAACGTAATTTAGCTTTTATGTGTCTTCGCAAACCTTGCAATTTTTTGAAAGCGGCTCCATCAAATTTTGGAAACTGTTCCAATATTGGTAATGGAATTGATTCGAGTGCAATACAAAATTTATCAAGAATTTCAATTTGAAGATTCTTTAAATCTTCACATCTTTCAAGCAATTTATCTTTTGTTACCTAAATATAAAAATGTTCAAAGAACAAGAGAAATAATAAAACCTTGAATTTAAATTTTATAAGTATCAATTAAAAATATAAAACTTACAGGTATTGTAGACATTATTGGTTTCTGTTGAACAAATTCAATCCATGAACTTAATTGCTTATTTAAACCTAAATCTTTCAAATTCAATCTAATGTCAGGACCAACCCAATTTTTTGTCTGTAATCGCTTGCCATTATATTTAGAGCTAGGACTGCCTGTATCAGAATCTGAAGATGTAGTATTTTTCTTTTGTTTATTGGATATTACGTTATATTTTTCAGGAGTCGATAAATGTTTATCCTCTGTATTTTCAGGCATTATGTCATCGTCGTCATTAAGCTTTTCTTTATTTTTCTTTTTTAATATGGTTGCACTACTAGGAGGAGAACAATCACTGTTCCATTTAATGTAACAATCACGTTGTGAAACAGTAACATGCTTTTTGACATCTTCTATTTCTGTTTTATCTAGATCCTGATTTAAATGCAAATCTTTTCCAACACTTTTTCTATTTTCTTCACTGTCAGAAGATTCAGAAATAACACAAGTTTTCATATAATCGCTATCTTTTTGTGATAAATTTAAAAATCCGAATTCTTTTTCTATTTTTTCTTTTATCTTTGTTGGGCTTTTAGAGCTTTTAACATGATACAATTTTTTTGTATGACAAGCTGTATTTAATCGTGTTTCAAGTGAGCTATTGCTCGAGTCTGAACTATCTGAATTATCCTGTAGTTAAGTATATTGAAATAATATTATTTTATGATAAATCATTATAATGTTTTGTGTAATCATAATTTTATAAAGTACATGCATAAAAATTGACAATAATGCTGTAGTTTTATTTATCAAATAGAATTATACAATCTTACAAGGTTTATTATTGTGTCTATTGTTACTGAGTCTCCAGCTATCCTCTCTTGTTTATTAAAATATGAATCATTTAATAATTCATTATTTGAAACTTTTTTTTCTGCCACTGATTCTGATATACTAAAAAATATTCAATCACACTTTCAATTACTAATTTAATTTGTAAAAAATATTATAAATATGAAATATATATTGCATTATAAAAGTTTAAATATATTGAAACATACATGCATCTCTTATGTAGGACTTTTTTAGAAAATAAAATAAACTTTGTTTACCTAGTAAGAATATTATTTTGATTTGTATTCTTTGCCAAAAATCCCACTATCGTAGATTGGGTGTTCTTTTGACCAAATACAGTCTTTTTTGACATTGTTAGCACAAATTTTAGATTACTATTAGTAATTACTAGCCGTTTGATTAAGTTTATTTTACTCGAACACTATTGAAACAACTATTCTCACCTCGGCACTCATGGACTATGTTTCGATTGTTTCCACCGAGGGAAACAGTTAAGAGTTAGAGTTAGGTTAGAGTACAAAAACCGACCAATCACAGGCGAGTATTCCCAATTCCCATCGTACGTACGTTACCAGCGTTAGTAGCGCCTCTATAATATATTCCCCAACTAAATGCATGGATGCATAAGTACGTGTCGGTAAAAAAGTCGGTTTTTTTACCCTCCTTAAATAAGAAGAGGAGAGTTAACAAGAGTAAGAGGCAGACCGAATAAATTGTGTTCATTAAGCTAACATCATTCATATTTATAAATTTATAATTATTTACTTGTTACACTACATTAATATAGACTACGCAATCAATATGTCACAGTAAGGAATATAATCTTATAATGATGACTATAACAATCGATCATATCATATCATAATTAATAGTTACTGTTTAAAATAAAATTAAATAAGATTTAAGATGATGATGCATTCTCTGTTACAGTTGTAGTAGTACTCTGCGTGTCCGGAGATTTTTCTTGCAATTCTAACCATGGTAATCGTTTTTGCAATTCCAACCTGTTGCAGATTAATATTCATGAAGACACAATTAATGTTAAAAAATTGGATAAATATTTAATAACATGGACGACCCTCGAATGCCTTTGGCCTTAACATATATATATTTCAATCACCACTCGAATTACGATATGAAATCCAGAAGCAGCTTGAAACGTCAAAGTCGTCTTCCGAGTTCAAACAGTTAAGAGCACAAGGAATTTATGTTTTTAAAACAGAAAAGAGAAATTGTGTTTAGAGCAGAGAATTGTTTCATCGGAACAAGGTCGTATCCAAAAGTTACATTTTATTGATGAACATGTTTTTATTATCAATAAACTTTTTAGTGGATATAAAAACGCTGGCTAAAACCGAAGATTACTCAGAGCCATGACCTCGACAATATATGTCAAGGTCATTAGAAAATGATCGTTATTATTAAATATTTATTAAAAATTATTTTTTCGTAAATATTTATTAATGCTGCTATTTTAAATTCAAAACAAGAAATTAAATAAATATAAACTTAAAATCTCAAAACGAAAGGACCCCACGTGCGGGGTCTTTTTCGTTTGGAAGTTTGCTCGCAAACACTTTATTTGAAACGTATCGATTCCTTAAGTTATCAAAATATAGAAATTAATAATGTTGAAACATCTGTTGGTTTCATTTTGAACATAATCATAAGCTGCAGTAATAGATCAAATATAATTATCTTATATAGTACAGAATTTAGAATAAAAAACAAATAACAGAATTCTTCACTTTTGTCTACCTGTATCTTGGATGGCTTATGGCATATACATATGGATCCAAACAGGCCACAAATTTGCATGTGCATGCTGGTATCATTGTAACACCAGGAGTTAATAATGTCTTATCTCCAAAAGCACCGATCATCGCGAGAACTCCGTACGGAGTCCACGAGAGAGCAAAGAGGAAGCATACTGTTATCGCGGCCTATAAAAAAGATAGCGCATATCATATATTTCCTTAACACACGTGATTTAAAGTATATGATATAATGAATATGTGTAACAATAAATAACATTAAGTCGATACGTGTTGCTTGCTCTTGTATCACTTAGGCCTGATTGCACCAACGTGATTTCAATTTTAAGCGAAACTTAAACTGTCTCTGTCTCTGTCTCCCTTTCGGCTTTAAAATGAGATAGATAGAGTTTTAAGTATCGCTTAAAATCAAAAAGTGTTGGTGCAACCGGGCCTTATTCATTTTCTCATTGTAATGTTTATAGATTTATAGGTATAGCAGATACAGAAATTAATAAAGTAGTGCAGAGAAAAAACTCAATTTTATGAAATAATAGCCTTGAGCTATTGTTTGAACAAAATAGAGTATATATTAGGTGCTTGAATTAATTCTCGCTGTTGACTGGGAGAAGTCAGTATTTGTGCTGTTTCAACATATGGCCGAAAGTGACTGCTTATGTATATAAAAGTACTAATAATAGGCTTTAATAACCAGTATATAACATTTGATCGGATGCAAAGAACATAATTTTTTATTGCATTAAAAATGTCGAGTTTTGTATCAAAGAAAGGGCATTTGCGGAAAGCGTTACTTTTTTGTTGTAACCTCAAGAAATCTGTTGCTGAAAGTCATCGTTTGCTAGTGGAGGCTTATGTGGAGCATACTCTATCTGAAACAACTTGCAGAGATTGGTTTAGAAGATTTAAAAACAACAATTTTGACGTGAATGACAAAGAGCGCTCTGGTCAGTCGTAAAAATTTGAAGATGGAGAATTGGAGGCATTACTTCAAGAAGATTCATGTCAGAAGCTCAAACAGTTGTCGGAAACATAAAATGTCGATGTGTCAACCGTTGACAAACATTTCAAAGCAATGGGAATGATCCAGAAGTTGGGAAATTGGATCCCACATGAATTGAGAGAGAGAGACATTGCGAAACGTTCACCCATGTGTGAAGTGCTGCTCCAAAGACAAAAATGGAAGTCGTTTTTGCATCGAATTGTGACTGGCGATGAAAAATGAGATTCGTTACGACAATCATAAACGCAAGAAATCATGGATGTTCGCGTCCCGGCGAACCATCAATATCAACGCCAAAACAGGAAATATATTCATGGAAAGAAAGTCATGCTGTGTATTTGGTGGGATATCAAGTCGATGTCTTGTATTATGAGCTGCTGCAACCGAGTCAAACCATCAATGGTGAATGCTACCGACGTCAATTTCTCAATTTGAATCGAGCACTCAAAGAAAAACGCCCGCAATACACCAAAAGACATGATAAAGTTATTCTTCTCCATGACAACACCAGACCACATGTTGCACAACCGGTGAAGGAAATCTTGGAAGCATTTGGATGTGATGTCTTACCTCAATCGCCGTATTTACCAGACGTTGTTCCATCAGATTACCATTTGTTTCGGTCGATGCAGCATGGTTTTTCTGAGCAATACTTCAGTTATTTCGAAGATATCAAAAAATGGCTCGATGACTGGATCGTCTCGAAAGAACCTGATTTTTCTACCGCGGAATCCATTTGTCACTCGAAAAGTGGGTAAAAGTTATAGTATTCGATGCACAATATTGTGAATAAAATATTAGGTACTTTTTTGATAAAATAAGCAGAAGTCTTTTTTAGTAAAAAAAAAAACAAGAATTAATTCGAGCACCTAATAAATATGCCAAAAATTTGGAAACACGCACACATTGCACGCGCACGCACGCACGCACAGCTAATTTTGAAAAAAATATCTTAGACAAAAGTTATAGTTTAAAAAGATATATTTACTGATTTTATCGATTCGACTTTGGATTGCATCATTCAGGTTAAGCCAAGGTCAAATAAATTTTTTAATTAAAATTCACATTTTTTACTACATATTTTTGCAGCTCATATCTCGAGAGCTTTTCAAAACACTAGAACAAAATTTTATATAAGATAGGGGAGAGTAGTCTAAATCGGGCCTATTTGTACGTCTGTGAAGCTGGCCTCTCATTGTCAAAATTTTGAAAAAATAAGCAGAGTTCTGGTTGCCCCCCGACGAGTTCTAGAGTTCTCTATCAAATTTAGGAAGAGTTCTATTGATTAAAGCAGCGAAAACACCATTTGAAATTACGGGGGGGCCAACTTCACGATTCTGCAACTTTGAAGAGCTACAACTTCTAAACCATTCATTTTAGCACGTTGGTCTATAGAGGACAATCGTTAGAACTCTTCGGGGGGCTACTAGAACTCCTATCAGATCGACGAATTTCCATGAAAAAAAAAATAATTTTTTTATTTTTGGAAAAAAATTTTGAAAATTCGGTGTTTTCTTCAGAATTCTGATAGCCCCCCAAAGAGTTCTATCGATTGTCCTCTATTGACCAACGTGCTAAAATGAACGGTTTAGAAGTTATACCTCTTCAAAGTTGCAGAATCGTGAAGTTGGCCCCCCCATAATTTCAAATGGTGTTTTCGCTGCTTTAATCAATAGAACTCTTCCTAAATTTGATGGAGAACTCTAGAACTCTTCGGGGGGCAACCAGAACTCTGCTTATTTTTTCAAAATTTTGACAATGAGGGGCCAGCTTCACAGACGTCCTATTTACAGTTTTTGTTCTCTATAAGGCGTAAATAAAGTCCAATCATAAAACTAATGGTGCCGTTCGAAAGATCATTTAATTTCCTTCATTTTTGCTTTGGACCATTTTGACGTATCTCTTATCTGTGTCGAACTATAAATGATTCAATGATAGGTCCGATTTGGACACGGATTCTTTCGAATGATTTTACAATAAACTGCAAAAGTAATCACAAAACTCTTGATATTTTTGAATTCTACACTCTAATTATCTTAAATCAATTACCGTTCAAATTTTTAACATCCTTTAAATAATGATTTACAAGGATCTTCTTTTTTAAAAAAATTTTTACATGATAGCCGAAAATATATATTCTTGCGTCTATTCTATGAACGTTATGACAGAGAGTACTGCCAAACTGCTGTCATATATGCGGTGTCTTATAAGGACTTTACATTATAAATAGCACGCAAATCTGCTTAATCGTATTTATTTAAATTAAAATGGTCCGATTTGGAACGCAATGTCCGATTTAGGACATTCTCCTCCTATTTTATATTATATTGCCCGTATTCAAATCGCACTTTTATCGATAAAAGCGCGTTTTTATCTCTGAAATTCTATAGTATACGTGACGTAAATTATAGCATGTTAGCGCGTTCTGAATACGGTGTGTATGTATGTATATATGTATACATATAAAAACTTGATTTTTTTTAATAACGGTATTTTTACGTATTCTCTTATTGGTACTTTTATATACAGAATGAGTAGAGAACGTTTCTAAATAATTATATCATATGTGTAATACGTATATATGTGAATTTATTTCTGTATTGTATTTGTCCTATGTGTTAGAAAAAAAGAAAAATTTGTATATATGAAGTATACCTTAGCTATGCGTATTTCCATAGCTTGAGCATTTGTACCGGCATTGCTCCTCAAACTTTCGACATTCATCTTCTTTGCTTGTTCACGAAGAGCTTTCTCGTGATTAATAACGTGAGTGACAATATGACTATAATAATATATGATAAGTAACATTGGTATACAATAAGAAAAGCTAAATATTGTAGCCACAAAGTATTGTATTTCTGGAGTATTTGTTAAATAATCAAAAGTGCAGCTTGTCAAGAAACCTTCGGGCACAAACCGACCCCAAACTTGCATTATTGGCATTAAAGCCCAAGGTATTGTGTATGCCCAGATAAGTACAATAAACAGCATCACTTGAGCGCGAGATAGTTTTCCGTCAAGTGGTCGAGCTATAACACTAATTTTATAACAGTATAACGTGTACATATAATTATAACATTAAAATTATATCATTAGTAAATTATACAAGATATTTCTACGTTAAACCGCCAAATTCAAAATTGAATTTAGAATTTTAAATATAATTTTCATCTGGAAACTTTTTTCATAAACATTTCGTTTAAAAAATATCGACTTCTTAAATTATAGAACTATATAGAAATAAATATAATGTCGAAATAGTTACGGTTCATCAACTTTACTGTTTTATAATAATCAAATCTAATTATTGAATGTTTTGTTTAAAACGGAGGATATGCAAACGTACGAAGAAAGATATTTTGGAAATGTGCTCCATCCTCCTCACCTCGTTAAATCGGCTGGAATTTAATTACGTTCTCGTTGTCCCGAACAAAATCTCAAATTACCATATTACTAATAAACGAATAATATTAACTTTCGAATCTTTATGCTAAAACATAGTCAGAATAATTTAAGATCTTTTTATATATATATATGAATTTGTACTGTTTGAGCAATGTAAAATTCAATCTTAGAATTTATACTTTTCGATTACATAAAAATTTCTAGCTGTTACATATGCATTAATAAACTTTGTATATTTACTTGATATTTATATAATACCTGTATCTATCATATGCTATAGCAGCATTTGTTATAGCAGCTCCAATTCCGCTAAGCGAACCCATAAAGGCAAAAATTTGACATCCTAAATGACCGGTAGCAAATCCAGTATTAAAGGAATTATATATAAATATTGGCGCCTTGAGCATCATGAAGAAATCACAAAATGCCAAATTCACCACAAACAAATTTGAAGATGTTCTTAGCGATTTGGCTCTACAGAGAAAACAATATTTTAATACGAAATATAAACAACGCTTAGTATAATGACATGCCAAGTTTTGACATATTTAAATTATAACGTAAAAACTAGTATGACCAACATACAGCTACTAAAGATAATTCATAATTGAATAAATAAAAAAAGCTAAATTATATTAATTCTAAACAGTTATAGTTATTAAATATTAAAATTTCTATTGCATAGCACTTTTATATACGTAAGTTAAACAATATTATCATCAATGTTCAACTGTTATATGTGTAACTTACGAACAAAATATCCAGATAACCAGTCCATTTCCTAATAATGATACAAAGGTGAAAAGTATATATAAAATGGCCAATAAATAGTGAAGGGAAGGATTGGGCTCAGGATAGATCAGCCAATGTTCTGGTATATGGATCAATTCCTCAGCAGGGACATTCCATCCCAGCAATCGTGGCAGTTCCGGTGATAGAACCCTTGCTTCCCAATGAACACTTTCGTTCAACATGTCGCGATTTACCAATTTCAGACTTCTCTATAACGTTGAATCTTTATATACATCGCGATCCCACAATTTAAATTTGTGGAATCTAAATCCATTCAAATCTAAACTTAAATGGCTTCCAAAGACGATTAGTCAAATTAATCCTCAAAGTGCTGATGGGCACTGTATATATGCTACTATGTTACGTCAGTAACTAGGGTGCGATCCAGACACTTCAAACGCTTCAGACGCTATTGCCACAAATACTTCCGATAGAGTGATCCGCTAGCGCTACTAACATTACCAATACTACACAAGTGGATCAATCGTAAAGTGTTGGAAACGTTATTATTGAACGTAACCTGCTAAAAAAATCTCGTAAACATCGTATTCCTAGAAGACATAATTCATGTTAATATGGAGACCAACGTGGCATTACATGCAATAATAAATATTTTTCAAGAATCTTGTAGTTAAATTTATGAAGATGATACTATAGATCTTGTAACAATAGTAGAAGAAACAAATACAGCTTTGAAAGAAAAGGAACGAATTCCTAAAGTACAAGGATATGTAGAACATTTAGTCCCTTCACTCAATAGTGTGTACAGTTTCAGTCACACTTTCGGTATGTATTTTCACTGTATATACTTATATAGTTACTGTATACTTGTTAATTGTTATATTATCATAAATCTGTACATAAAAGTTCAAAATTCATAACTTGCATTTGACAACTTAGGATGCTACCATCAACATTTGAATATCTTTTGCAATTACTTCAAGAGAAACTTGCTCGTAGTATTGACGGAAATGAAATGATACCTCCAGATAAACAACTTTTATTATGATAATTATTTTGATTACGTAATCAACTATGAATAATAAATCTTGTTATAATTTCGTACAAATTATTTTATTTCAGATCTATAATTTAACGTTTTAATATTGGTCACGCTATTAGAACTATGCGCCGGGTTACTGCAGCATTATGCGAGCTTTCATCTCAATTTATAGTATGGCCTACAGGGAATAAAATACAAGAAACTGTGCTTGGTTTTTCTAATATAAGAGGCTCTCCAGATACGATTGGAGTCATAGATGGCACTCACATAAACATTCTTAGACCAAAAGAAAATGCAGAGGCTTACGTGAATATTAGGAAGGGTCATTATTCGATTCAGCTTCAAGTAATATTCAAATAACATTTTTATGTATTAATATCATTAATTTTATTATATCTATTGTATTATTACTAATATATAATTTTAATAAATACTAATAATAAGGTTACATTAATATTCTAATTTCCTATTCAATAATATAATTATTATGTATATACAACATGAGGATGAGTGTTGTATTACTTTTCTGTTACATGGGAAATTATAATATTGATATAATGTTACTATTACTTACTTTATTAGTATTTAACAGGGTTGGGTAGTAACTAGTTAAAAAGTTAAAAGTTAAAAAAAAAAGTTAAAAAATTAATAACTTTTAATTTAACTTACAATTAGTTAATTTTAAATGCATTAAATTTTAACTTAACTAAGTTACTTTTAAACGTTAACTTTTTAACTTTCTTTTTAAGTTAAAAATTTTTTTTATGTCTCTTAAATATCTTAGAAAAATAATAAGATATAATAAGACTAAGGCCGGAATCCATAGTCCGAACATAGTCTAAATCTCAAGGAATGTCTTAAAATGCTAATACGGCTCTCTGATTGGTTCATGCACTAGTTTAATACCATCTCGAATCTTGAGTAACGTTTATGGATTCCGTCCTAAGAGCGTATTCTGTTCTTAATTTAAGACCATCTTAAGTAATTTCTTAAGATGCTAAGCCCTCTAATTGGTTTATGCGGTTATGCCTTATGTCATAAACCTTATTCCGGATCTACAATAAGTGTTTTAAGCCTTAAGTCATAAGGAATTGACTAATTACAGTCAAATATTCTTCTCGTATTCGAATTTAATTGATCTTATGGCTTAAGACTTATTAAAAAGTAAACCTAATAATTTATATTGTAATTATTTAATCTCATTTTAAGGAAAATTAGGACATTTTGGTCTAAAAAAATTTTTCTAACTTTTTTTTCAACTTGAGTCAATTAAATATTGACTTAACTTACGTTAAGTTAATTTTTTATTTCTTCAATTTTTAACTTAATTTTATTAATTTTGTAAAGCCATTAACTTTAACTCTTTATTCAGTTAAGAAAAAACATTAACTTACCCAACCCTGCTGTAATTATATGTAGGCGATTTATGGCGTGCTTCTGGTAAAGCAACCAAAAGCAACCGCGACTATCTTTGTTTCCAGGGATCAGAAGACAAAGATAGTCTTAACCGCGGTTGTTTTTTTGATTTATAAACATACAAAATTACAAATAGAAAATAATAAGCTTTATATTATAATTGTAAATATTAGCTCATATCATAAGTCTATTTTAAAACTTACTTTACATCAAATATTACCTGATTTTGTAATAACAGCTTTATCTTGTTGTTGAACTAATGATGCTTGATGATTGTGTAACAGTTGAGTTGCAAATAATAAATCTATTTAAAAATATATATTATATTATAAATCTTTTTCATTTTAAAAGTTACAAAAACACATAGGTTATATTATACATTCTTACCTTCATTAGCCTTTCATGCATCTTCCTCGGAAACTTCTAAAGCATGAATATCTCCGGTATTAACATCTATTAATTATATAATCGTCATTATTTTTAATTTCAATATAAAACGTTAAAACCAAACAGCCGTACTACCTTTTCGGCAGAAACATTTGCAGCACGCTGGAAACGAAAACCTATGACGTCATATATGACGTCGTATCTATAAAAACGCTTCAAAAGGTCTAGTGGATCACATTTGAAGCACTTCGAAACGTTTGAAGTGTCTAGTGTGGATCGCACCCTATATCAAACTATATATTTGTTAGTAGTAGTAAAACCCATATTAGGACGTAAATTGTAATCGAATAGTTTTTGAAGTTAAATTCTTCAAGTAAAAAAATACGCAATAGTCTTTATAAAAATTAATTTATTTCATAATCCTACTATTGAGTACTTTATAATGCTATTGAGTATAAATGTTCAAATAATGTATGTGCATAATTAAATTTAAACATATTAAGAAGTTTTGTATTAATTCGCGCGCGCGCGCGCGAAACAAAATGCTATTTGTATTAAAAATAATTAATACAGACAAAAATAGAAAATGTGTGACTTATCGAGAAATAATTAATGCTAATAATAGTAATAATAATATATATTAACAACACCAATTAGTATATACAATATTAATAATTATAAAAAAATTAAACATCATTTCTTTTCACTATTTTCTCTGCCTTCTCTCTCGGCAGATTTATCGATCAAAGTATAAGCTGGTAAATAAAATGAAGGATTATTAGGATCCTTTAACAACGGATTTTGCATCGTAGTGCTTCTATTACCAATACTTGTGTATCCTTGATCGTAAAGCGAGCAATAAGGAATATTGTGCTTTAATAAGAATGTCCATACTTGACTGTAGGACCAATGTAAGATAGGATTTACACGTATCAATGGTGGCCAATTCGGATCAGTCGGTGTAAATGCTTGTAAATTTTCAGAACCTGGATCACCTTTTCTCGTACCCATAAGAGCTGCTTTCAAATAATGTTTTTCTTCCAGTAATGCAGATAATGCGAATTTAATCGGTCGTTGCATCCGTATTATTTCCAAACCATAATAATGAGCAGCTAACTCCACAAATGCTTCTACCTAACATGTACAGAATATTAATAAATATGTATTGTAACTAAAAAAAAAAAGGGGATTCAAGATTTGTAGGATAAATAGTATATCTACTATTTAAAAAATTAATATAGGGGAAACAGAGAGGCACCATGGATCAAAATGGAACAAAAATTCCGTGAGTATATAACTCGCAATAAATATATCATACTTTATAGAAGTATCATAAAAGAAATTGTGAGAAATAAAATAATCATTTTCGCACCATGAGATTCTTTAACGGCATGATAACGGAAAGATAACGGAAGTGGATCACTGCCATCTAGATACATAGTATGGGCAACTAAGTAACAATCATATGATACCAATTGCACTAACCTAAACATTCTGGATTTCTCTAAACAATCAGTGACCCATGGTGCCCCGGTCTCACCTATACGTTTCTTATTATCTATTTCATTATATTTATTATCTATTTAATGGTTATATTTTTATTATCTAATTAATGGTTACGGCTCTTACCTCTGGAAAAGAATCGTCTGTTACATATAAGCACAGTAAAGATGAAATATTACGCAATTTAGCAACGGTAGCAGTTAAATGCAAAACTACTGTGCAATCCTTACCACCATTGAAACTAATGAAAATTTCATTTGGATTATATCTATAAAGAACAGATACATATAACAGATTATAAGAATAGCAACAATTTATGCGAGGCTTTTCTTTAGATCCTTCAAAATAAAGAGTTTACACACTTATACTTTAATTAATGCATTTTAAAATTAAGAAAATTAGAAACATTTGAACATTGAGGTAGCCCTATTCAGTAACTATGGAAAGTAAAAATACGTGCTGAAGATTAAAAATCTACATATAAATTAAACATATTAACATATAATTCAGCCACGGTCACATTTCTCTATTTACAGAGCGTTATTTATAATATACTAATGCAATAACACGCACACACACACACACACACACGTAACATGTTACATACATACCTTTCATAACAGTCATTCAATATGTCTAATGCACATTTAATATGCATTTCATTTTTACTATTTTCCAGTACAGTATTCATTTGAAAACTGCTGAATTTATGTTTCAAATTTATTATTTTTTGTATTGGCAAGTAGTACAAAAGTTCCTCTTTTGCTTCTGCAATTGTTTCTTTAGATCCTTCTAAAGTGATTCTTGTGAAAGGTGTTTGCAATTCATATTGAGGATAACTACCAATTTTTACTTTACCATCCCACCGTTTTGCTTGTTTATCTAAAACGTTCACTATTGATAGTTCATTCAATTTAATATCTATATATTCAAAGTGAAATGGCGTGCATCCTTTCAAACGAGAAATTATTGTGTCTGCAGCGGGCTTGAAGTACTTTGGGGAACCAGGTAATATGTAAACATTTTTTATAGTTATTATTGGAAAATCCCCTAAAAATATAAGTATAATATCATATGTTAATATATTATATATTAAGATGAAAAAATAGATATAAATTTTTCATCATACATTTTTCGTTTCCATGCAAAGATATAAATTCATATAATTAAAAATTAAAATAATAATAGAAAAAAGGGCTACGAGCCACAAATTCGTTATTAATTAATTAATATATGTAGAGTGAAGAAACTAAAATGCAAGTTATAAAAGAAAATATATGTATACCTGAATCGATGTTGATAATCTTGCAAGCATTAGGAACAATGGCAAATCGTCTTATTTCAGCCTGACCAGGAATCAATTGAGTATATATATCAAATAACTCCTGATTGAATTCAAGTTTTGATTCAAAAGCTTTTGCTACACCTTCATAAGTTACATCATCATGAGTAGGCCCAACACCACCAGATGTGAACACAACAGTATACAGTTTTGATGCATTGCGTATTTCTTCAGCAATATCGTTCACCTAATAAAAGATTTAAATATTACACAATTTTTTATGTAAATTTACATAAATTTTAGCATTAATTATAACTGCTAATATTAGATATTTAAAACTTAAAAGTATTATATTTAATGTGTTAATAATTGAATAGTTTGTTTGAGAGCAGTTCTGCTGAATTTCTGTGACAGGAGGAAGATTTCTATAAAATCAATACGAAAAATTTTAAATGCGTTTTTCTCGACTTTTTTTGCTTTGATGTTGAATAACTTGATGAAAAAAATGTAGAGTTCAGTAAAAAAAAAAAAACAATTTAAAAGTACGGATTCATTCACTCTTTCGAATGCCGTAAACCGTATTTGTGTGCAATTGTTAATTCGCGCCGTCGAACTTTACAAATTTCGTGAAGAATTTTGAAATGTGATGCATTGTTTATCTTTGTATAACTCCGTAAAATATCATTAAGACCATTTTAAAATTATTTAAAATCAGCAAAAAGTCATTTTTTTTCTTCAATATTGAATAACTCGGTGAGAAAAAATCGTACAGAGTTCATTAAAGAAGTAATGTAAAGCTAAAAGTTGACCCTTTCGAATGCTTTAAACCGAATTTGTATGAAATTTTTAATTCATGCCATGGAATTTCACAAATTTCGTAAAAAATTTTGAAATTTGTTGCATCTTCATTTTTATCTTTGTGCAACTCAATAAAATATTTATAAGACCGTTTTATAAAGTACCGATCTGAAAAGTAGAGATTTCACGATGTATAAAAAGCTTTTTTAAACATCTTGATATAATTTTTTATTAAGTTGTTTCTTCTTGAAATTTGCAGCCTATTTTTAGAGAGTATAACAGATGTTGGCAAGTGTATATACAGTATGTTTCATTTTAATCGCCCCACTAGAATATCCCGTGGAGACGTGGAGTTGAAAAGTTCTAGACAAAAATTATGTGACTTCAAAGAAAATGAACACGACGACACCATAGATTTAAACTTGGGTGACGTCGCGTCACGGCGTCATCAAGATCAGGGCGAGGTCAATTTGAATTTTTATGAAAATAGAACCCTTCATTTTTCATTGCATATTCATATAACTTACCTCGAGAGACTTTTAGAACACTATATAATAAACTATTTTTTCTTTAAGTACTTTTCGAGTTGTAAGGCTTAATTAAAAGTTAGTCAACATTAGCATTACTAAAGATGTCCAACCGACGACTAAAACTTTTTTGTTGTTCAGCATCATGATCTGGATAACATTTGTCAAGATTAAAACTATTGAAGGTTGTATCTTTTATTTTTGCACTGAAAATTTATTTTTACGTAAAAATGAAAAATAAGAGATACCTCCAATGGCCTTGATCTTGATAAATGTTATGGAACATGCTAATACTGGGACAATTAAAATGGATCATTTTGTATATTACTTATTAATAGTATTATATTATATTCGCGCGCGCGTTATAAGTAATCATAAATACTACAATACATAAAAAATAATACGTACAATATCAGAGATTATTATAACTTTCTGTAGTTTTATTCCAGCAGCAATTAAATTTCTTGCCAGATATGATGTATTAGTATCAATTGTTTGTCCACGTAAAATTTCATCTCCTATAACTATCAAACTTGCTGTACAGAAATGATGTATTTGTTGCGACATATCGTTCGAAATTTTGTTCTTGCTAAAATGAAAAGAAACATAATAAAAATACATAAACTAGTTTTTTTCTATATGAACTAACATGCAATTTACTATTTTTTTTTATTACATATGACGTGTACTTGTGATGTTTATGCTTTATTTATATCTATCTGATACTTTATAAAATTTCAATAAGACAACAGCACGTAAATGTTGGAAATACTAGATAGTCTAGAAAAAGGTAAGAAAGCTAAATAATAAAAACTGTATATGTGTATTTTTGTATATTTATTATATAAAAATTATAATAAAGGATGTATAATATTACATTGACAAGAAATTAACATTTAAAATTAGAAATGCATACAGTATAGTTTGTAATATGTGTTAAATATCTATCCATTTTTCTTTTTCTTCACATTAGTTGTATTTGCTCCATCATTGAGGTCGTTACATCCGTTTGTGCTGACATCGTCTTAGGGATCAAGTTTTTTTTGTTTTGATCTATCTCTTATAATTTGCATCAAGTTTTACTTTGGAGTTAGATATTTGCAAATCTTTTAATTTCCTTAATAGCTGATCCATGTTGAGTGTTTTATTTTTAATATTTTTTAAATTTTAAACTAATTTAAAAAAAAAATGATATTTAATCACAAAACCATCTTTTATTAATACTTACTACTATAAGCATTAATTGTATATATTCAGATTTCTTTGTAGACATAAATTTTTAAGTGTTTTGTAGAATTAAATTAAACAAGAAACGTAATAAATATCAAGTATCTATTTTTATTTTACGTTTTACAATTTTAGATTGTTCAATAAATTAAACGTATCAAATACAATCTCATAAAATAATTATCCTATATATCAATTTATTATAAAATTTGTAAATATTCATTACTTATTTTCTTCAGTAACTTTCTTAGTAACTTGTAGTGTTTATCTTTTAACTTAATACTACAAACTGTTGTGACTTTGAAAACATATTTGTTTTTATGACTCTTCTTGTTCCTTCCTATTTTTTTTTTGTAATGCACGTACATTCGTTATATCATTCTTTAGAAACAAACTGTTGTAGAACATTATCTAATCACACTAATTTTAAATTATCTAACTAATTTTAGATATCTTCGTTGCTGGCTCCTCGCCTTTAATTGGTATTTGTTTAAATGAAAATGATACCCGAACCATTTGTTTATTTGGTGAAACATCCCTAATATTATGTATATTAACAATAGATTCAGCAGGCAATGTATAACCAAGTTTTTGCTCAATTAATAACCTTCCCAGGAAGCAAACATCATCTCCTTTATCTGCTTTCACAAAAGAATATATGTGAAATATAGGTGGCTTAAAACATATTTTTTCAAATTCTTCTTGTGTAAACCAATCAGGAAGTATGTCCAAAAATTCAACAGCTGATGCAGGTAAATTCATTATTATATGTTCTGAACCAGGAAGATCTTGAGCCCGTCTCATCAAAATATTATCTCTAACAACTTCCCTCAAAAAATGTCTACCATCCACGTTAAAAGCTTTAAAATTATCTTTTATCTTGTTAATGAGAGCATTTTTTTGAAGCCATTTATAAGATTCAGGATTTAAGTCATTAGCAAACACTTGGACTTTTTTACGTGCAGCAGGAATTGCAAAGGGTCCTACTCCTGCAAATACATCATATAGAACATCACCTTGCGTCATAAATGTTACAATTCGTGTATGTTCAGTTGACAGACGTGAATTCCAGTAGACTTGTGCAAAGTCAAATTGATATGTACAACCATGTTCTTTCACAGATGTTATTGTGTTTTTTTCACCTGCCAGAATTTCCATAACAAAATATCGGAACGATGTATTAATTGTATCTATTTTATTTACTACTGTTCGTGCGTTCGCAGTCTTATCAAGAAATATTTGACCAATAATAGATTTGTATGGTAAATGTACATTACGTAAATTCAACTGCACAATATGTCCCACTGAACTGTACGCTGTAGGAACATCAATATCTTTCGGAAGAATTGATTTTAATATCGTATCACGACGCCAATTATCATATTTCAGTGTAATGTCCATTGTACTAAAATATTCATATCCATCTACTAGTAGTTTTCTATCATTCTCAGCAATATCCTCAAATTTCGTGACAATATCAGGATTTAGATAAATAATAGTTCCATCATTTGTCTTTTGAATTGATTTAAAATTACATAACTTTAACAAATATTTCTTTAACATGCGTATATTTTTTAAGACAGAAATGTCACGTAACTTTAACGTTGGTACAGTCACAACTCTTGTGAATGCATCACGATCCAAGCACACCATCCCACGGACAGACGTTGGAGGAACCAGCAAGGAAGTCATAGTAGTTGTATAAAAGCTGTACTGGTTATTCAAGCAACAACGTTGTCGTACGACACTGAAGAATCTGCCAATTGCCATATACAGGATCATACACTGTAGAACAATACAAACAACTAACCGTAATAAATATCTCATAAAGATCTCAATTTTTTCTTTAAGAAATAATAACAGAATGTCTATAGAGTGACCCCGAATTTAAATGGCTAAACTTCGGGAGCGTACAAGGAATTGATAAATTATGAAAAAAATTGCGCATGAATTTCGACTTTCTACGCGAAGCGACAGCTACCATACACCATTAAATGGGTTGGGTTATTTTTAACAGTAGTGGAACTCCCTCGCAGGGGGTGCGAAACCTACTGTATTCACGCGTACCCTTTACAACATAAAGCGACATGGAAGTTGCGAGCTCATTCGCGGAACAAGAGGTGGAGTAAGAGTTGTTTCGTATGAATACAGTAGGTTTCACTACTGTTAGACAATTACTTCAACGCTTAATATCTGAAAAACTATAACAGACCGCCACCTAGTTGTTAAGGCAAAGTCACTCAGAATCATGACCTTGACAACATTTGTCAAGGTCATCGGAGCTGGCTCCCCTAAAGTACATAATTACCAATCTATTCTCGAAATCAACCTAGATTTTTTTAGTTTCAGCATACTATTAATTTCTTTTCTCTTTTTTCTTTATTTATTTTTTCATTTCCCTAATGTGTATTGTTAGACAGAATTAACATTAGATTTGATTTCTTGGTTGTGGAGGATTAAACTCACTGTGATTAAACATCTTTTGATTCTTTTTTATTTTTATTTACGTAATTTGATTGCCTCTGAGCAAGGCTCAAAAATGAGTCAAAACATGTAATAATAAGTAATTATTATAATAAAAAAGTTTGGTTTGATATGTATCAGCATTTGCATAAAGTTATCTATGCTTGACTTGTAGTGCTCTTTTCTCTCCGAGTTTGTATTTGATTTATATAGGAGTTTTTGTTATTTAAAATTATTATACGCTTTATTTCTTTATAATGTATATAATATGTCATAAATGAATATAAAAAAAATAATAGGTGTAGAAAGGCTATGAGCGCAAGATTATTTGACACCTATTTATGACAAAAAGCATTGTTTGAGACGCAATCATTTCATCTACAGCAAGTAATAAGACTGTTATTTTATTTTTTTCAAATTTATATATGTTTCACATACTTTTTAAATTTTATATGTTCTAACATTGAGAATGACCCAAGCAAAATCGAACATCTATTTATAATTGTCATACTTTATATTTTATACTTTAGTTTATTGTTTAACTTACGTTTGTGTTTTTGCTTATATATTATATGTATAATGTTTTCATGTCATTAAACTTTTATTACTTAATATCTGATTCGTAGCCTTTCTATACCTATTATTTTTTAATTTATTGAGCTACACTACCTATATTAATAAATAAATATGTTTTAACAAATTGACAAACTAATGCGAAAATCACAAAGATGAAAAAATAATACCTTCATAAATTAATTTTTTTATTAGTTGTAATAAATTAATGTGCATTCAATCTGTCTTTCCAAGTTGCATAACAAAAAATGTCTTTTTTTTTACTTCCTGCACTATTCACATCTTCTCTCTTATATGGTATAAAGAAAAGAAGGTAATTATTCAGAACACACTATTCACCTTCAGTTTCAATAAAATTATGTTCATTCGACGCGTTTTTGCATAAAACGAAACAATCTGGCAGTAAAATATTGTTCTCAATCTCACAAAGCAGGATAATTATTAAAAATTTTTTTAATCGTTAAAGTTAATTATTGTTAGGTTAGGAAATCAGTTACACTAATGACATGGTTACACAAATGTCACACAAATGTTCTGTTTTCTAAATACAAATTCTCTGCTTTACAAACATAAATTTTCTGCTTAAAAAAAAAAAAATAATATAGAAAATAGTTTTATTAGCAGAGAATTTAAGTAATCTAACCTGTAAGTCTATGCAATCCATGTGACAGATTTTCTAACCTAATAATAGTTAACTTTAACGATTAATATCTCGCTTTGCAGAACTGAGCACATTTTACTGCCAGATTCTTTCGTTATATGCAAAAACGCGCCGCATAAGCTTAATTTCATTCAAAATCGGTGAGGAAGAGTGTCTCCTTCATGATTACCCACACCAAATCGGATATGAAAATATAAAATTATTTACCTGATAGCTTTATAGGAAATTCAATATTTAATACAGGTAACTTGTGTAATAACTTTGGTTGCTAAAAAAAATAAACGAAAAGTGTCGGCATCACTTAACAGACAAAGAATAAATCGTGAAAGAAAACAGATAACACAACGCATATGCATATACTGCCGACTGCGTATACCGACCATAGACTTTTCTCTTGGCTGCACCAGTGCAACACTCAGCTGAACTTTTGCACTAGTTCATCTTTCTTCCTTTTCTGTCCAGGAGAAGGAAAAAAGATGAACTGGTGCAATCACCCTACACTGGTGAGAGAAAAGTTGGATAACTATAAAATCACACAACAAATGATATTATTTCTATGATTTTTCAAATTACGTGATTAAAAAAAATAATGTAATGATTTGGGGCAGTCCATTATGTAATTTACTTGTTTTAATTACATTATTTCGTTATGTAACTTTGTGATGTGATTTTTTTCAGCAGAGTGATCCAAAGTTGGATGTTTGTAATTAAAATTAAAAAATGTAAGTATAATGCAGAGTATCATAAACAAATGTCAAATGCTCACGCCCTTGTTTCTTTAATTATATAAACAAAAAAGTAAAGGGACATTGTAAGAGTCATATGAAATAATTTAAAAAAAAAACAAAAATAAAGCGAAACAGTCATATATATAATAAATTAATTTCTTACAAAATTCGAAATGTTTCTTTAATTATATGTTTTTACAAATTATAAACCTTGTTACATTAATTTCAAACATTGTTTTAAACAGTTTAAATAAATAAATATTAAATACTGCTCTTACAAGTGTTATTTATAGTTATTCAGAACTACTGGCAGTTCTTCAGATAATAATTCCTCACATTTATAATTTTCCATTGTCTGTACAATTGCAGGCATTTTTTCGGAGGAGTCTATTCTATTAATTTCCGAAATTAGCTCTGATGTTGGCTTTAATGGCACACGATTAACAAATGTATCCAGTGGAAGCATTTGATTATCTAGTAGTTTATTTATGACTGTATCACTTGTATCAATAGAATGAGCTGGACCGCAATCTGGCCTCTTTGGTCTTTCCTCTATAATGTAAATAGAATGATATAAAAGAAATTAATTAATTTTTAAAACTAATAAAAAAATGTTTTATACATGTATAATTATAAACTTTACGTTTTAATATATCACATGCCACATAATCAGCAGCTCTAAATAACTCTGCTTTTATAAGAAGTTCTTGTAACAATTTTAATGTTGGTCTCTTTCTGTCCATAGTACTCCACTCATCCAAAAATATTTGAGCTGCATTGCGTTTATCACTATTTGCTGTATGTTCGATGATGCTAATAATGAAATTTTTATTACACAATGATACATATTGTAAGGTAAAAATTTAAATAATATGAGTTACCTGATATGATCACTACTAAATTTAGGAACATTTCCTTGTTTAAGTACAATGGACATTAATTTTTTCCACGAATCAGAAATGCTCAATATATTTCCTAAAGTATATAACTCAGCGGGTCTCAATTTTCGTATTTCCATATCTAAATGTGCTTTATAAGCCATTTTTAGAGATAATGGTACTATAAAACTACAATTTTCATAGAAATTATAGCGTTTAGTTTTCGATATTTACTATAATTCACTGTGGGTGTTTTCTACTTAATGACACAACTAATACAAATCAACACAAATATTATTTTTGGTGCAAACCGCAACGGAATAGCGTAACGTGGATCGAGAACAGAACCAATTATGAGCGTTCTGTGTTTCTCAATAATTTTTAGCGGAATAGCTTTTGCAAAGCTGCGTAATATACACACACAACTGTGTACATATGCATATATCACGTTCTGTGTAGCTAACCTAAAAGAAAATAAAAGTGCAATAAGAACGTGTAAAATAAGCTGCAAGAAAAATAGAACCGCAATTACAATATACGATATCATTAATATATACATACGTTATTAATAATTTTGTTATTAACTAGTTCTGTCTTTCCTCTAAACAATGAGCAATAATTTCTCTCTGCACTCACCTAGGGCAGAATCCATAGATGTTGCTCAAAACGTCAAAACTCGAGATGTTATCCGGGCCTCTTTCACCAACGCCGATTAACTTAATTGATGATTAAGTCGATTGGAATTGACCAATCGCATTTATCATTTATAGTTTTGACGACAGACGCGATGGACTAATCGTCGATTAAGTGAAGGGGATCCTAAATTACCCTACAGGCCTCTATATTACCGACAAAATCGTCTAATTTTTGTATCGTAAATACTTTTTTTGTCATTCACAGATTCGAATAGAGGCCTGTAGGGTACATAGCATGCACGCGCGAAATTATATGCTGATAAGTTACCATTCGGTCGACATTATCGACATTTTTAGTTTCGTGCTGCTCCGCGTAAGCGAGGGCGCAGCAGTCTCTTGCATCAATTTTTCAGCAGGATCTCCAAAGTCTGTATTATCGACCTCGATTAAATTCGGCCTTTACTTTAGAATCCCCATTTTTATTCCTAAATTTTTTAATTTACAATTTCTTTTAGCACCAACAAGATGAATTTTATTCGAATACATTATTTATTCGAATTATAAGTATATTATTCATTCGAATACATTGTAGGTATATTTGAATAAATTTTATTCAAATATGCCATTTATTTTTAGGATTCGTTCAACGTCGAAGCAAAAAAGAGATCATTTTTACTTCAACGTTGAATAACTCGATACAAAAAATCATACAAAGGTCGGGAATAAAGCAAATTAAAGGTAAAGATATTCAGTCTTTCGAAAGCTTGTTTATCGCATATATTTTAGCACAAATTTCGTTCAAAATTTTAAGATTTGATGTGTCTCCATTTTTGTTTATGTAACTTCATGAAATATCGGCAAGACCATTTCTTAAATAACTTATATGTGGTAAAAAGTAGAGATCTCAAGCTTTAAAATGCTTTGTTAAACATCTCAATACGATATATGAAAGTTATTTTATCTTAAAGTTTACTTATTTTTGCAGAGTGAAACAGGTGATGCTTTAATTTTGTTAAGTAAATGTATTTATATTTTTAATGCGTAATATTTATACTTATATACTTATAATATTTATTAAATACTTATTTTTAATGTGCGTAATATTATTTATTTTAAGTGTATAATATGCACTAATGGTAATTACATACGTGCATATAGTACAATAATAATTTAATTACACTTAAACATAATTGTTTAATTAATATCAATATAGGCATTATGTGAAAGCTCATTGAATGGCAAACTGGCTTTACGTGTGTATACGTGTGATAGTCTGAGCCTTAAAAAATAAAATAACTTTTTCAGTTGAGAGGTCTCGAGGTCTTAGGAATGTACCGATTTTAATTGGACTAGTCGTAATCGAAAACTGATACATCAAATATAGATATATAATAAAAATGTTATTAGACCTTCTGTTATACTTTCAGTTTTTGAGATATCTTAACAAAAATAAATTTTGACAGAAGAATTTTGAATAAGTTTGGTAACGCCGCGACATTTGTTTAACGCGCGCAGTGACATTCACGTCATTTTATGTCAAATATAATTTCTTTTCGCTTATTTTGTATCTCGCGCCATTACTACATCGCTTGATTTTGTTATGCCAAAACAGTCGTTACAGCAAATCATAATAATCTTACTAAAAATGTTATTTTAGAAAATTAAGTTTTTTTTTATAAATCGAGTTTATAGATAATTTTATATAAAAAAAATTTCAATTAATTTTAGTTATTTAAGAAACAATATTTTCGCACACACCTGTTATTTAAGAAACAATATTTTCGCACACACCGTACTACATTTAATAAAAAATGTTTAAATTTGTCAATTCGTCTATGGTAAATGTATCTACTTATATTATTATATTAAATATTAAAATACTGCGAATATTATTAATTTTTTATTGCACATTTAATTTCTTAATTTGTTAAGTATATCGTTAACTAATTATAATTGAAAATTAACTTGGAAAGAAAAGGACACTATAGGAGTCAAGCGTAGATAACTTCAAGCAACGCCGATCCAGCAAATCTATCAATTATTAAAAAATTAAGCTTACATGTTTCGACTCATTTTTGAGTCTTCTTCAGAGACAATAAAAAAATTACGTAAATAAATTATAATTTGAAAAATAAAACAAAAGATAAAAAGATGTTTAATCATAGTGAGCTATTTATGAATTAATATATATTTTAATTATAATTGGATGTTAAAAAATAAACAGAGTATCACTGCGATGTCTATATTTTAAATAATGATTTGTTTATAATGGTTAGTTCTAAATTTTTATGCAAAACTGATTTTCCTGGAGAAACTATAATCTGAAGATTAATTAAAGAATTTTTCTTTTGCAATCAAGGCATTTATATCTGTAAACATCTTTATTTATGTACATAACGTTTTGCCACGATAAGCGTTAATATTCTGAAACTATTATCAAAAGCATTTTTTCTGATGCGTTTTACGAGCAATTTTCGATACGCGGTATAATCGTTGTAAAGCAGGAACTAGAAGCTAACTTGTATCTGCTCTTCTTTGCTGTTTTACGATCATGATCGTCTTCTACGTTGCCACATGGCTCGCCAGTAGTTCCGGTCGAGGAATTAAGACCAAAATACATGAAATGCATAACAGAGCCGAAGGATAAAGGCGGGTTCACACCTTGATGGAAAAGTGGAAAACGGAAAAGCAGTAACGAATCAGAACTCGCATTGGTAGCAAGTATAGAACTAACAGAAAGTCGACTACCAATACATTACGGACATAAAACTGTTGGATCAATAAGCATACAGCATAAAGTTGTCGTATTGATTCACATAAGATGTTCATTGGTCCAACGATTTTATGTTATATTTACGCTCACTGTTATGTATTTCATGTGTTTTGGGCTTTACTCTCAGTAGTTCGGCACACCCTGCCTCTCTTCTTTCTTGCACCATCCTACTTCCTCTTGAGAGATATTTCAACCCTTTTCAAGACGCTGAAAATATGTATAGCGGCTATCTTCTTCCATGTATACATATTCTTGCACAAACTTACAAACTACACTATTCCATTTCTAGACTTTCCTTTAATATATGTTTTTAATTTATTATATCCATTTATTATAATTTACTGCTTATTTCCAGGTTGGGAAGTAATGCGTTACTTGCATTACCGTTTTCGTTACTTTTTTTTTTTTTAGTAACAATCGTTACTTTTTTCTGTCTGTAATAACGGTAACGATAACGTTGTTACATTTTTACAGTTAATGGTAACAAATTTAGCCATTATTTTTACTGTTACTTTAGTTCTTCTTCAAATTCCCTGTGTGGCTTTCCGACTCAGATGGTTACACACAATACCATGTATCTTATATATTAGTTCACTATTATTTTTATAACTATTCAATAGATCGTACATGTATATTCAATAAATCGTAGTATATATACTCTAGATAGAGTAGTATGTATATACTCTAAATTTTTGGTACGGGCAATAAATATTGAAATACGCATAATAGTAATCCTGGTGGAAATAAATCGCTGAAATCTTTATCAATTAACTCATTTCATTATAAATTATACGAATAAAATATTAGAATTTATTATAAATTATACTAAAATAGGTCTATTGATAAAGATTACACTAATTTATTTTCACCAGGAAACATTAACGTTTAAAAACAAATGTTTAATCTATTATTTTTCATCTAAATTCTTATAAAAATGTTTAAACGATGTTTATATTAAAACAATAATATTAAGAAAAAATAAAGAATTCCCGCGAAAAAAAAAAATTTTATATTCTAAATAAAAGTCTTATAAGTTCTTTATAAAGATTCATCAAAATTCATATAAAGAATTTATAAAGTCTTTATATAACCTTATAAATAAATATATATTTTTAATATAGTTTATATTATAAACTTATTTAAGTTTAATAAGTCCTTATTAAATCTTATTAATGTCCAATTTATATATATTTAATTAAATCTTAATAAGTTTTAAATAAGTTGAATTAATATATTTTAATATGGTCTTAACAAGTTTTAATAAGTTTTAATAAGGTCTTAATAAGTTGAATTAATAACTTAATATGGATCATTATATGGTCCAAATTAAATCTATATAAGGTTTTAATAAAACCACATTTATTGGAATTGTTAATAAGTATTATATTAAATTTTAATAAAATTTATATTTAATTATATTAAATCTATATATATTTTTTTTTCACGGGTTAGTAAAACTGTAGGTAAGTTTAATAGTATTGAGAAAAGCTCTTGCTTTATACATATCCAAACTAATTATAGTAGAGTTTGCAGAATATTTATTTTCAATTCAAGTTTGAATATTTATTCTCCCTTCTTAATTATTAAATTAATTATTAGCTAATGCAAAAAATTTCAAGTTTCATACAACTTATAGTTTAGCACTATAAAAAAAAAAGTAATGAATCATTACTTTTCAAATAACGGTAACGCGCGCTTTACTTTTTAAAATTGATATAAGAAATAGCGGTAACGATCGAGTTACTGTTTTCAAATAGTAACGGTAACGGTAACGTGTTACTTTTTTGAGGTAACGCGTATCAACCTTTTGCTTATTTCTTCATTCTACAAAATACAAATTCGATTGTCAAGTAAACATATCTTTCCAATATAACAAAAGAAAAAGATATTTCAAGATCAAAAAGTATCGTTACGTGGGAAGATTTTCGTAGCGTACATTCAGCTCGGCGGATACAAGTGCTCTTATATCGTATGTCTACCAAATCGCGATAAAAAAGTATGAAGCGGTCGTTTGATTGCTTTGACAAGTATTAAAAATATGGTAGTGCATGTAGTCAGCATAGGAAGGAAGAGTGTGGTTCGACCACTTAGATCTCACTGAAAAACCACGACACATCCATGTGTAGGAGTTACTCTCCCTAATTACATGCTTCGAGTAAGATGTACTCATTGGACGTATGTGCGTCCCAAGGAAACGCACACAATCATGAAATTTCAAGTCAATTAATTTGCATCTGCAGATTTTAGTGAAGGCAACGTGTTAATTCTTGAAAAATTGCGTTTCATTTCGACAATCTCGCTACCAGATGTAACGATATATAATTAAAGAAAAAATAAAAACTAAATTAACTTTTTAAACATATATATTCAGTTAGACTTTACACACATATATTGCGATTATACTTATAAATATTTTTCTTGTCTTGACGATCTTGAATACATCAACGAAAATATTATTAATTATAAGTAATTTGAATCTACAGTATATAAAGACTGTACGCTATTTCGCTAGAATAAAAACAACTAATTGACATATCGGCAGTAAATAATTACTTTAAATATTGAAAATTCTACCACACTAATAAAAATTAAAAAAAATACAACGATGAAACATAACAAAACAATAATATACAAAGTATTTAATTATAATGTAAATTGTTAAATAATATATTCTGATGCGTAAATGAACCAAAGTTTCATTTTCTTATTCGCGTTTTCTTATGATAACCAGCACAAACCGTACGAGGATAATATTAATAACATTATATACATAATAAATGTATACGGAATTTTTTATCAGTACATTTCCGAAGACACGACGCGATTCTATAAGATAATGCCAGCTTCGCTCAACTAATACGTTTTTATAGAGAAAGTGCAAAGAATGCGAACTCATCGATCGCCGAATTAAGCCGGCAATCGACAAGTTAAATTCAAGACTAATCGTTCAATCAGACGCCAAGCGGCCGCAATCATTTATTACGCCACGTGGGGTATGAAAAATATGCACGAGAAAAACAGGATTTGTAAAAATATATGATATATCTATATGTATACACATATACATACATACATACGAAAAATACAAAAAATATATATATTATATATTAATAATATTGAAAACAAGCAAAAAGACGATGTCTCTCTGGTAACAAAAGCTCACCTCAAAGTCCCAAAATTTGAAAAAATCATGCCAACGATGAAATGTTCGTCGAATAAAAATAGTTAGACATTTAAATTGTGATTTGAAGTCAAAGAAAGTAAAAGATTAATATCACAGTAAGTATGCATAACGTTCGATGTATAAAATTGAGATAAATTAACAAAAGTACATAATACTGAAACAAGTAAAAAGTATAAAAAATTATTACTGCTGATGATTAAAAATATCTAACTGTCCCGAACTAAACTCATGTACCTAATAATAATAGTCTTGAGGTCTGTTCTTTATTGCTGAACTTTTGCACTAGTTCATCTTTTTTCCTTTTCTCTCCAGGAGAATTAAGAGAAAAGGTAAAAAGATAAGCTGGTGCGAAAGTTCAGCAATAAAGAACAGATCTTTGGTAATACAAAATCAAATCTTGTTTATAATCAGAATGTATGATTTATGTAAACCTTCTGTGTCTGTTTGGAGTTTAAGACTGTTTCTCTGTTTTTTAATGTTTATATAACGTCTCCGAGGTAAGGTGTTTATTGTAACACGGAAAATTCATTGTATTATTATTAATTTTAAAATAGATATATAATTATTAATTCTTTATTCTCTCTCTTCTCTCTCTCTCTCTTTGACTCTTACATATCCTATATTTTTGTATTTTGAATATTAAGAGTCCTGTTATAGTCATTTTGTGTGTGATAAAATGAAATTCATTTGTAAATTAGAATAATTAAAATATATGTTTCTATTTTTACGCAAGGAAATCGACGTAACATTTCCATTCATTGAAACTGAAAGAATTAATGAAGACTGTCAACGGTTTTTTCCGAGGTCGAGGATACAGAAACCACCCTGTGTGTGGGTGCGCGGTTCGATCCAGGATTCGCACACGAATCTAGAATCCTCATTGCGTATGTAGGACGTGGGACAGATAGTCAAGCTTGAAATAAAGACGAATCGTTTCCCGTAGGCGATCGTGATTGGTCTCGGGGATGTGAAAAGAGGTGAAAGACAATAAGATGGAAAAACAACATCTATGTATTCACAATGACGCTATTCCGCCATCTATATAAAACCCCGAGGATCACCATCGTGCTTGACATTATTTCGCTACGGAGTCTCGAGAAACGACGTATCTCCGAAATGATCGTCACCGGGAATCTTAGACGCGCAACTATCATCTGCATCTTGGCTATGCTGTTCTGCTTAGGGTCTCGCGCTTCCAGTGAATACGGTAAAAAGTTTAAGCCATGTTCAAAAAAGGATACTCAAAAATTTAAACCTTTTTAATAATATATTACTATGAAAAGTAACTGATATATTGTTAATTGAAAGTGCCAGTACAAAGTGAACATACATAAAGTGTATGTAGTTTTCAATCAGATCAAATGTCGCTCGGGCGTCGTACGGCATTTGGACCGCGCGCGGTGAGGTGAGGGGGACCAAGCGGAAGGCGGAGGCGATTCAAAAATCTGCCGAAAGTTACATACACTTTATGTATGTTTACTTTGTACTGGCACCTTTAATTAATAATATATCAGTATATAAGTTTTCATGGTAATATATTATTATTAGATAAAAAGGTTTAAATGTTTGAGTATCCTTTTTTGAACACGACTCGAACTTTTCATTTTTATATGATTTTTTCGGATATTATTTACTTTATAGAGTACAAATATATCACAAATATATATAAAAAAAAAAAAAGATTTAAAAGTATTATACAACGAAAGAGAGTGAAATACGGCGAAAGAGAAGGGTGGTGGGGGGAGGGGAGGAAGGGGGTGCGGTGAGTCGAAGATGGTGAAGGTGCGAGTGAAAGGTGAGAGGGGATGTTATAACAGAAAGTTTTAATACGGCCTTGTGAATGCGGACAGAGAAGGAGAAGAAGAAGAAGAAGGAGACGTTTCTTAATTTTTCATTAAAATCATCACTTTTCTACCGCTTGTATCCCCAAACCGGCTTGACCGATTAAACATTTTTTTTGGCTCAAATTACTCCGTGGGGGTGCCCGCCCTTTCAGGACATATTAACGTTCGATTCAAAATTTTTTATATTTTAGTAGTTATGCACTCCCGAAAAAGATGGACTTTGGTGGCTCGGGTTAAAAGACTTGTAATGTCTTTTAGTTTTTGACCGGATACACTACCGCGTCTCCTGGTACCGATTTCTGCGTAAGCAGTCATCAAAAAAGTTTTGATTGGTTGTATTAATTGTGCTTTTGTAGAATCGAGGGAATTGGGCTTGAACGGCGGATCGAACGACGGCTCGTGTATTGAAGGCAAATGTATCAAACGTACCATGCAGGATATAGCCAGCGGCATGTGGTTCGGACCGCGTTTAGGAAGACGACGCAGATCGGACGAGAAACAGGAAGTGAGTCCCGAGATAGAAATTCTGGCGAATGCATTGGACGGTGTGCATTGGACGATTATTACGATTCCCGGTGAGAAATGAAATCTTTTGAATTAATTCATCATTTTGTTAGTATAAAGGTACATTTGATAATTTTTTTTCTTTTATCATAATTACATTTGATCGATAGTATTGTCAACTTTCGTTATTATCAATACGTTAAGTTTGCCTTTTTTAAATTTGTCTTTTACATAGCAAAATTCTTCGAGTAGTATCAAAAAAGCTTTCTTTTCACGATAAAAGTATGCAAATATATAAAGATATATAATTTTCGAATTATAAACAATTGTAAAAATAAAAATGCTTTTGTGAACAGTTAAAGATATGTCACTAAAATAATATAATTATTAAAATATAATTGTCGTTAATTTTTTACATGTTTCTTTATTAACTCTATTCAAATAAAATCCCAGTCACCTTTTTATTTTCTTTAAATTCTCATTGTAAAGTTCCATTTGGAAATTTATCTAGAAAAGCTATTTCATTTAACGTCCCTGAATAATTACTTCATTCCCGATAATTCAAATAGCTTTGAATGATATCAAAGTTTATTGACTTATCGATTTGTGTGAATTTCAAGATTTAATATACATATGTATAAATATATGTATGATCCATAATTTTCCTTATCATTGAATATGACTGTTAAGAATAAATTTTAGCTAACGACAAGAGACAACCGCCTCAATTTACACCGCGTTTAGGACGAGGATCGAACGAGAATCTATTCTCCTCTAGAGATGCGTATGAAGCTGATGAAGATGACCGTCGGTTATCGCCGCTATTCACGTCTCGCTTAGTACGTCGGTTTCCTTGGATACCGTCGCCGAGACTTGGACGTCAATTACGCAACGTATTATGAAGATTATAGATATTATATAAATGAAAGACAGATAGTCATTAAAAGTTGAAGAACAAAGTAGACTTGCGCGATTTTGTGTAGATCTGACGAAACGACAACCACAGCACTATTATATATATGTAAAATATAGAAAAATAAAATATATATATATATTTGTATTGCTAAACTATTATCTTTTTCTTGCATTTTGTAAAATATAAATCATCTAAAAATACTCTACTCTCTAAAAATGAATCAGCGTATCACTTTATTCCTAGATAGCAAATACACGTCATTTTGACGTCAAATTTTAGTCATTTACTGACCATGGCTGACGTCTTAATGGCGTCCTAACGTCGCAATTAAAATTATTGACGTCACCGCAAGGACGTCATTTTGACGTCATGTTAAGATGTTTTCAAGCAGCAAATTATATTTACTGTCTGGAGAATTAACCAGGCCCAAAATATAATGTCATTATAACGTTATGTGATGACGTCATAATGACATCATAACATTGGTTAATTTTCGGTCACTTGACGTCATTCGTACCAACATGATCAGAATTTGACGTCAAAATGACATGTGTTTGCTATCTGGGATCATTCCTGATTTTGGCAGACACGAACCACCTCAATAGTATACCAACAATGATTGGCCTGCTCTAATGAACGATTCTACGTGATTTAAGAGTAATACGGATGAACATTTTTAAGTGTTTAACTAAACAAATATATATTTTGTTATAAAAATATCAAAATAAACGGGTTTGTATATAATTACCGTTATTGGGAACAAATAGATTAGTACGAACGATCGTGGGAGCGATTACTCGACTCGATCGAAGTATACAAAAAAGTCAGATAAATCTTCTGATGAACTATCGGAGGTGTCTCGCATCTGATTACTAATCCAGGAGCCCATCACAGACTTTTTGGACATATAGTATTCAGTTGGAGATCTATATTACATAGAGATATATATAGGCATAGCGGCGCAAAGTGAGCTCTTAGAGCTCGGGTATGACAGTATTTCTGTTGCCATTTAGTAAACAATTTTTATTTTTGCGTAAGTTAATGGAATATACTATTGGCATACTGCTTGAGTGGATGAAAAGATCGCTACGTCGATTTAAAGACGTGCGTATAAGACGTCAGACCTTTCGTAAATGCTTGATTTTAACGTATAATGTACCATAATATGTTTATTGTCAGTGCTCTTTGAATGTTTCTGACGAAACTTTACTTTTTCGTTGATTTATCTTTTAATTGATTTTCATTGTATTTATCGTATTTATTTAAATAAAATTTAAATAAAACCGTTTAAACTTCTTAATACAGCGTTACATGTAACGATTGATAATATATTCTATTGATATTATTTATTACAATTCGAGATATCTCTGTTATTACCTTTTTTTTTTTTCATCATTGATACATTCTTTTTTCTTGTGACAAATAAGTACAAATACGATTCTTTTGTGCTTTTTGTGGATGGAGAAAATCGAGAATAGGCACGTGCTATGTCGAAATAGGTACGAAAGAGGAGTATAGGTGAATCGGCAATGCTATAAACTCTTGTCCTGACGAAGCCCAGAACACCTTCTGCGGTCGACGATGCACGGAGGGCAAAATGAGAGAGAAAGAGAGAGAGAGAGAGAAGGAGATGATAACAGTTCCATGATATTGTAAGAACTTAGCTATTCTCGGTAGCCAAGAAAGAAGAAATCGTTTCTTCGCACGTAAAAATGAATTTCCGCTGTATAGCATTTATGTATTTCTATACATATACAAGCTGATTTCCAAACATTTATTGTATTATAATCAAAATCATATAATAGTTTGCACAAATATTTTGTTAATCTTTGCGCTAAATGCATCCAATTTATAAAAGACAATTTTTATTTTCTTTTTATTCAAATAATAGAATATATATAAGATTATATATATTTATTATAATAGAATATATATAAGATTATATATTCTATTATTTTTTTTCGGACATCTATATACATATTAAAAAATATTAATATTATATCGTACTTACTCGTAATTTGCAGATATCAAAACTTCAGATAATGTCGCGAATTTGACAGCGACATGAACATATACACGATGATGTTCACGCATCAAGCGATCATGTCAAGCGGTTATATTTTTATTTTACGCACTTGGCGTCGCGACGCTGCCGCGTCGCTTGATAAATCAAGTGATTGAAGAAATTAACAATAATCAGAATTGGAAAGTAACGCGTTATATTAACGTTACCGTTACAAGTTACTTTTTACGATAACGAATAGACATTTATCTTACGTTGCTGAATCGTTCAACTTGTCACTAGAGCACCACTCGTGGTTTAATAGTTGGATGTAGACGAAAGAATTGTAGGATCGAATAACAAAATATTTTTTCGGTTTTCGTCAGCGTTAGAGGCGGCTGAAATGTTTAAGACGAAGCAACAGCTTAATTATTAACATTTTCAAAGTCTCGTGGACGTGCATGTTCGCGTATGATATAATGCCACTCGTTTTGATAAACAAACCGGCTCGCTTCATCAATCGCTTTGGTCCCAGGGATCACTCGCGTACAATACACAAATCCGACAATGTCGTCTTCGACTGGCACATCGAACCGCTGTTTGGATATGATATACTGATGGACCGGTGTTATCGAAGACTATTGTAAATATTTGATCTCGGAAAAATTAAAGTTCTTACAGATAACAAAAATTAATTGCGCTAATTTAACGCGCGTATGAAGCTGGGGGGCCCCTCAATATTAAAAACCGAATCTTTTCTTTTTGCGTTCGTTTGCTCATCGTTTGCTCTCCTTTAGTTTAAAAGTTATACGCAATTTAATTTTGGGATACTTCTTGGATTTTTGAAAATTCCCAACTTCCGATTCCTTCGAGACACAAACGATTTGAAGAGACACAAACGGGTATAAACGATACTCTTTCGAATGGCTGCAATTTTACAAATATTAATTTTTACCTCTAATTATGTAAATATCTTTGTTATAGAAAATTACAATAACAATAGTATATTTTTCATATAATTTTTACCAATGTGCAGGGCGTCATCAAAATCCGGAAAAATCGAACAATTTCTTAAATAAAGTGTTTTTAATGAAAAATTAAATATTACAAAAAATCCTTTTACATGGCACTTGGGGGATCCCTGTAGAACATAATTATTCGATATATCCCCCATTAGTTTGAATGACGGCCTCTATTCTCGGTCTGAAGCGTTCGCACACACGCTGTAATGTAGCGCTGTCCACGAATGCTGCCTCAATAGCGGTCCTTAATGACGTCACATTAGGATTTTGTGACGCATCTTGTAAATGTACATATTTTTATAATATTCTACGTAACATAATGGTAATATTTTTATGTTCGTATAGATGGATAACACAGCTTAAGAAAATTGTAATTTGATGGCGGGTTATGTATAAATATTTCTATAAAATTAACTTTCAATTGTAAATTTACTTTTGCAAATTGTTTAATTACTATAACATGAAAAAGAAAAGTTTTCTTTGTAAGTTGTGTGTGTAATTTTACTTAAATGTGTAAATATACGTCTTTAATATCTCTTTAAATCGTTTATGTCTCAAAGGAATCGGAAGTACGGAATTTTCAAAAATCCAAGAAGTATCCCAAAATTAAATTGTGCGTAACTTTCAAACTAAGGGAGAGCAAATGGAATAAATGTCAACGGGTCATTTGTGAGCAAACGATGACCAAAAAGAAAAATTCGATTTTTTAAATATTGGGAGCTAACTTCACACGGATTAATTACCCGTTTAATTTAACAACTTTTAATTGATTAATTAACTGAACGACTAACCGTATAATAATCAATAATAATTAAATTGAATATTTGAGTTAATTAAATCTGCAAATAATCGTACGAAATTACTTTGTATCAGAAAAGAAAACTTTCAATCAAGTTAATGATATTTAAAAAATTTTTTTATGGATTTTAATGTTCACGAGGAAATCTTTTCCTCCATAATACAAATATACATATTATCATCTGGTTCGTACAACTTATAATACTGAATGTATGCGTGCGTCCTTTCACGTTACGCTCTATGTTCTCATGAAGACATTGAATATTGGTTCAATATCAAGATGATTAATTAATTAAGTATTGCTTTCACGGTATAACGTATATTACTACAATAAAGAATTATAATTTCAACGAATACATCAGGAATTCCAAACATCAACCAAAGTTGCATTTTACCAAACTATTAACATTTTATCAAAAAGTTCTTCATGTATCTTAATCAAAGGTTTATATTTAATCTAGTACTTGATTTCTACGAGAACATACTGTTTCGTTTCCAGTCTTTTATTATTAACCGTCATGATATTCAAATATTTATCTGAGTTCAACGCATAATTTGAAATTGATATTTCTTTCGACTCTGATATTTGTCTGTAATTAACTTTCAGCATGTTTTAGAATAAGAATTTTATACCAACGAATGACAAGTTTGAATAATTTTAATTTTTAACAACCACCAATTTTTGGATTAATAAATGCTGGCACAATTTTTTTACTTAAGGTAAGTTATTTTTTTAGATTATTATTATTGTAAATTCGACTTTTGACATATAATACTTGATACAGGACACGAAAATTATTAAAAGAAATTATACTTCTCAATAATTCCGTTACGAATACAATTAATCAGAAACCAGTGACATTGAAAATGACCCGATCGGCGTCGAAACGTATGTGAGAAACCATTTGTAATGTAACTGTTTTTATCATGTTTTGAATTAACCTCTTTGTTATATAACTGGCTCTGAGCCCTTCAACTTTATTTTGTTTTATATTAATAGAGCCTTAAATTATTGCTTATTATTTTCATATTTGTCTATTTGAAAAATTTATTTAATTATAATAATTCTATTTATATAATATTTTTTGGCGATTTGTAACTTTATAAGAGAGTATATTATATTACACCTAATTGCATATTTTTATAAATAAAAGATGGTATTGTTATCAAAAACATAAAACGTACTTTGAACGATAGCATAATTTTTCTATATAGAACACCTTTTTTTTCTTATTTGAATAAATTATAAAAAAAAAACACGGTTCTCACGATCCTATAAGATTTAATATTGTTTATAAAAACACATTTTTATGATGCGGCACAGAGTAATCAAATACAACTATAACGAATTTAAAGATTGTGTGAAATCAATTAAATTGAGGGCAGCATAAAAATACTATTATGTTTACCATCGTACTGTAGAGATAAACGGATATTAATATTTTCTACTCGGGATGTATTAGCTACATGTAAAGTATATGTATACGATATATGGCACCCATTATTGGCGCCAGGGTAGCCACGAAATTCGAAACCGAAAGCGCTCAGCACAAATGAGTTCTCCGTCTATAATGGGCCAATTGAGTAATTCTCACGGCTTCTTCTTTTGAGAAGTACGGAGTATGTTACATATATGTAGTATATATGTATATACTATATACGAGGTGTGTAAAAAAAGTTCGTGCCCTCGATTCACTAAAAAGCCAAATTAAATTATTCTGTAACGGGATTGTGATTGAAGTACTCTCCCCTTCTCTCTCTCTCTCTCTAACAGAATGTGCATTTGATCTAACGCTTCTTCCATTTCTGAAAACAGTGCTGCTTATCTTCCACTGTCAGTTTCTTTAAAAACTTCGTCGTTTTTCATTCTATGACATCCACGAAACGTTCACCCGGCATGATATTTTTTACTTTAAGGAACAGATCACAGGAGTCACAGGGTGCTATATCAGATGAATAGGCCGAATAGTTCATGATATAGATATAGTGATATTGTTTTCGGTCAAAAACTCACGCGTAATAAGCGAAACTTGCGGAACAATTTTTGCACACAGCTTCTGCATGTTCAAATTTTTTAAAAATTTGTTAAAAATTTTTTTTCAATTGTGTCTAAACACTACCGTTGCTTATTCCAAGTTCTTTTGCAATCGTTCTAATAGTAATTCGACGGTCTGCTTTCACCAAATCATGAGCACGTTGAATGTTCTCATCGACACGTGATGTTGAAGGGCGTCCCGCTCATGCGTCATCATCGACGCACTGCCTCTCCTCTTTCAACCTCGGTCCACCCATTTATGCACAGTTCTACGTTTCTCATAACAGATTCACCAAACACCATTTCCAACATTTGAATAATTTCCTGGCCGTTTTTGTCAAGTTTTACAAGAAATTTGATGTTGGTTCGTTGCTCGGTTAAAACGTCTCGCTCCATTCCGCCGACACGACCAAAACCGTCATTAATAAAAGCAGACACGAAAAGATCTGAGATCTCACTCGATCGTGATCAAACTTTTACTAAGGACACGTGGCTTCTTCCGAGACGTTGCGCCACTGTACAAGCTTGCAGCATTGCCACGTCTGCAGAATAAAATTCAGTGTACGAACTTCTTGTACACACCTCGTATATATATATATATATATACCATATTGTGTATGTATGTTGGTGTGTGTGTGCGCGCGCGCACGAAATAGTAACACTATCTATGTAGAATATCTTCGCTATTTTTAGATTTATAAAAATGATTTATTTATGAAAGTTGTATAGTATCAAGAGGACCACAATAGATATATACTACTAATAATTTTTGTGGACGGAGGCTCTTCGAAAATTTTAAGAACATTTCTACTTTTTAAAATGGAGTTATTTGATTTTCTATGTAATATGTGTGATTCTTAGTTATTTTGCGTACAAAAGTATAAAATATAGAAATGTCGAGAAATTAATGTAGCTCACGAAATACTTTACACTTTTATTCTCAATTTAATTTTAAAAACTTTCTTGTTTAAAAATTGATATATGTAATGAAAACTTACATGGCTGTACGGTATATTAAAAACTCGACTGATTAAATATCGTTAATAACGAAAAATCGTTGATACGTATTTATATTATTATTTTCATACATTTATAGATTCTTTAGATAATATAATTTATTAGAAAGAGATAGAAAGTAAAATATTACATTTTATTATGGTACATTTATTGCTGGTGACATTTTATACATTTTGATAACAGTACTTTATACAAAACTTTACAAAGATTTTTAATTCTAATTAACGATATGTTATTCAACCCAAAAAGAATCGTAATCTTGTATAATCATAACTTAACTATTATTATTATTAACTTACGAAAAAAAGACTCTCATCGATAAGATAATATTCTCTAAGTATGAATACCGACATAAAAGGAACAAAACTGTATGTACAGTACATAATAATCATAAACGCACAATATGTACACAATAATTTCATCCTTTTTTACATTGAATAATTACATCTTTTTCGGCGCGACTTCTCAACATTTTTCTCGAAAAAGACTTTTTTTACAAAACATTTTATCAATAAAATTATATATTAAATTCTTCAATAATTTTGCATTTTTTATAGATCTACGAATATTCGCAAATAATTGAAAGACACATCGTTAAATCGCGGATGACACTTTCCTTCCGACGTGACGGTAAATAATAATGTCACGCGCAAAAAAGAACGATCGTTTCGAGCAATATTTTGTGAAATATCGTGAATATGTTTTGACAGTGATGTCTCCGGTATATTTTATTGCATCTGGTTGATGGGTGATTCTTGCTTCAATTCGAGGGCCCACATATGCTGCGGCCAACCCGTCCGTCCTTTACTCTTCGTCAGTTCTTCATTGCCGAGATTTAAAGCAGATTGCAAACACGATTCATTCTGCAAAGAAATAAAAGTACTCGATGATATGTCTCCATCAAAATTAATGTTGCACATATAATGTAACTTTAAAATCTGGATTGCTTTTTTTCATTTCGTCTTTAATTTAATATTAGACCTAAATCCACATATGGAGGTATATAATTTCAAATAATTGTCCAACAAATTTATTTAAGAAACGAAGGACATGGGTCACGAGGCCCACGAGTAAAAATAGTGATCTTATTATTGAAGATAGAAAATTCCACGTCCGAAGTTTAAAATTAAAACAGAATTAGACGGAAAATTGACTAAAGTTTTTTTTATTTTGTTGTAATAATACCTCTTAGTTTTTTAAAGACAATTTTCGACGGAAATTCTCGAAGATCCATTATTAGAATGTAGCTGAATCCAAATAATGTATTAATATTTCATATAATGAATTTTTATTAAAGTATGAAATAAGTATGTGTGTAATCAGTTATATCTATAAAATCATTATTTGTAGCAAGTATTTTATGATTTGTTCGTATTGAATTATTTCTCAATGTGTTATAATATATAAATTAAGTATAGTTAAGAAAAAAAAATTATTTTTTTATCATCTTCTATATTTAATTTTATTAGGTTTTATATGAAATATAGTAAAATCATATAATTTTGATGTAATTTTTAATAAATCATGACATGATAATGATTTTAAAGATCGAATTCTCAAGCCGATGTATAACGAATGTAATTATAGTGGTGAATGTTAGAGAGATGCTTATAAAACCGTTTTGAGAGATTTAAGAAAATCTCTCAAAAGTCTCTGCAGAACACACAAAATAATTTATCTTGAAGAACTTTCAAACCAGCGATCAAAAGCCGCTGTAAGCAACCTCGAGTAGCTCTCGAAATTCTTTAAAAATTTTCGGATGAATAAAAGATCTCAAGAAAATATACGAAAATGAACGAGAAGCAGAAAAAGCGAAGTTAGATAAACAGAAATATGTTAGCATTGTCTTGTTAGTATATAGCAAGAATTGTTAGCGTTAAAAGTTGTTATTAATCGTAGAATTTTGCTTTTTTTTTATATAAAATTATCAATTAATTTACGCAGCTATTATTAAAAAGATACAACAATGTGATACTCACGGCTAATAAGAGTCAAGAACTTTCAACATAATTATTTTAAAAGTTCAAAAAATTATTTTTAAATATGCATCTTGCTAAATTATTAGATATACTTGAGCAGAATCTTTCAACATACACTTTTTTGCAATGCATCTTTCATCCCTCCACTTTTACCTTTTGTTTTCCTTCAACCTTTTCCTCTCACTGTATAATAACTAATAAATAATAATTAAGTTATTTACTTGATTTGATTGAATCGCTTTATTCCTTCTGCCACTCGAAAGGATCTCCGCGCGAAAGGTTTGAGGTTCTTCTCCTTCGTCACTTTCCAATACCGCCATCAAATATCCAATGTAGGACGCAGCCAGCCTTAAAGTCTTGATTTTGGATAATTTTGTATCCGAGGGCACATTAGGAATGCATTCCCTCAGATCAGAAAAGGCATTATTGATGGATTGAGTTCTTCGTCTCTCCTTCTTGTTAGCAGTGTTTCGTTTCTTTGGCCTGGGTACAACACCATTCTCGCGAACACTCTGATGAAGATGTTGCTGACCGCCAACAACCTGCTGGCTTATCTGAGTGCTTACAAACTCATGCTCGCGTCGATGATTAGGTTGATGTTGATGATGATGATGATGATGGTGTGAATGGTGGTGATGATGATGGAGTGACGTTTCCTGTTGCCCTTGGAGATATGGTAAGGTAGTGTAATATCGGCCAGCCGATGGATGTACGTATTGCTGCAGAGGTGAATAACTCGATTCCTGAACGCCGATCTCTTCAATAAGGGGTGGTGTTGATGCGGTAGGACTGCCGGCCCCCGAACTACCGCCCGAAATACCGGAATCTGCACCTCCCCAATATTGACTATCAGTATCAGGAATTGAGCCAAGAGGCCCTGGATAAAAATTGAATGTATATTGCATTATTATGTATGCAATGTATCACCTATAAATGCGTTGATGAAATTGGATTTTAAATAATTCTTACGAAAATCGTTCATAATAATATTCTGTATATATAAAGGACAATTTTGCTATAGAAATATCTTATTTAATTTAAATCTATCTTAAAAATTTAGCTAGATACAGATCTGAAAATAATTTTGTTGATCATCAATTATAATAGAATATAGTCGAATGCCTAAACTGGTTATTATAACGTCAAACTTTTTTGCAGTATTGTTCATCATGTCCGAAATTTGCACGTTTATTAATTATTTTGATGGTCCAACAAAATTATTACCAGATTAAGTTAAATTTTTAGATACTTTAGCAAAATTGTTCTTTCCGACAACGTCTTTATAAAAACCTTTTTTGCGAAATTTGCAAAATAATTTTTTTCACAACTCAAAGTTACAATAATTCTGAGAAGTCTTTAAATTTTAGGAATATATTGGAGAATATTAGGATATTTAAAAAAGATATGATCTCTCTCTAATTTACGTAATATAGTCTACTGTTAAAGAATTTAATAATTCTTTTAAATGATATATAACATTATATTCAGTAATATCTTTTATTTAAAATCATTAAAATACGTGAAATTTAAATTTAATTCCTTAAGATATTTTGCAATTGTTAGATTTTCGTATTACTTTATGGAAAAAATAATACAAGTACGAGGGCAAGTCGATAAGTTCTTAGAAAATCTGTCAAAGGGCACTCGCAGCATCATGTTACATTTTTTTTTGACAAGTAGCATCATGTTACATTTTTTTTTTTGACAAGTAGCATCTTTCAGCTGATTACCGTCAAATTTTGAGCGGAATTCATCGAGAGATTTCATTTCTGTAGACGATTAAAGTGAACAACCCTTGTATTTTTTTGCAAAATGGAAAAAAAACGAGTTTCGTGCAGTGATCAAACATCTACATATGAAAGGTTTAACGCCGAAAGAAATCAAAGCCGAGTTGGATAATGTTCATAGCACATCTGCACCAACGTTTGCGACTTTATACAATTGGGTGAACGAATTTAAACGTGGTCGTACATCCACATGTGATGCACCTCGTTCGGGACGTCCAATTGAGGCTGCCACGCCAGAAATCATCGATAAAATCCACGATATTGTTTTGACTGATCGACGAGTGAAAGTGCGCGAGCTTGTTGAGGTCACAGGCATATCGCATGGCACAGTGATTTCAATTTTACACGAACAATTGGGTATGAAAAAGCGTATCGGCAATATAGGTGCCACACGTTTGCTCACTATGTGGATGATAAGTACGACCGTGTGACGATTTCAAAACAACGTTTGGAAATGTTTCAACGTAATCCAGATGAATTTTTACGTCGATTCATTACTTCACACCCGAGACGAAGGAACAGTCGAAACAATGGACTTCACCGGGTGAACCGCAGCTCCGAAGAAGACGAAGATCGTGAAGTCGGCCGGAAAGGTGATGGCCACAATTTTTTGGGATGCACGCGGTATAATTTATATCGATTACCTTTCGTTAAAGCAGACGATCAATGGCGATTACTACGCAGCCTTATTGGATCGTTTCAACAACATTTTAAAGAAAGAACGGCCTCATTTGGCGAAGAAGAAAGTGCTCTTCCATCAAGACAATGCACTGGTTCACACGTGCCCGGCATCAATGGCCGAATTCAACGAATTCCGCTACGAATTGCTTCGCCCATCCAGCATATTCGCTAGATTTAGCCTCCTGCGACTGTTTCCTGTTTCCAAATCTGAAGAAATGGTTCGAAGGAAGGAGAGATTCCCCACCAGAGAGCAGCTCATCGCCGAAACAGAGGGTTATTTTGAAGGATTGAACAAATCATATTATTCGGATGGCTTGAAAAAGTTGAAAAATCATTGGATCAAGTGTATCGAGCTGAAAGGAGACTATGTTGAAAAATAAAAATGAATCAATTAAAAAAAATGTGTTTTACTATGTTTTTCTAGAAACTTATTGACTTGCTCTCGTAGCATTGCAATTTAAAATAAATTTTCGCATTTGGTTATCTGAAGAATTATGTGTCTATGTATGTTTTGCGCAATGATTGTCGTTAATACGTTATAAGTAAACAGAAAAGGATTTTTTTTATTTTTTATCAACCATTTACGTAATAGTCTGTTAAAATACAATTCTTATGTAAAGCATTATGTTAATAATATAGATATTGAATAAGATAAAGATTTTAAAACAAAAATGTATTGTTTGAATAAAAAATTCTTATACGATGTTTATTCATAAACTTTCGAGAGCATTTTGAAATTAATTATTCTTTTATTTTAAAATGTTATTATATTTGCATGTATTATGCTGTTTGAATATTACTGCTTCTTTCGTATGTTCGCTATATTGGCTATAATGTTGTTTGAATATGAACCAATAATGACGAATTAATGATAGAAGGGAAAAAAAGCATAAACTTCTGCGTGCTGACAGGCAAATTGACTTTTATCTTCACGGAATTTTTCCATTCTTGAACTTACGTGTAAATAAATTATCTCATTAGACGCATACATTATTATGCATAGCAAGTAATAAAATATGATATAATACAATGTATGTAAGCTTTGTATAGTTAAGAAAACATGACAACATATTAGAGCGAATCTAAAACTTAAACTGCTAAATTTAATTCACACGCAAAGTTAATGAAAAATTTTGTAACTTGAAATATTTCTTACTCCGATATAAGACATGATTCCTTATATTTCTGTCTTACTAAATTCTTTAATTTAATTTTTCTATGTTTATAAAATAAAATAGAAAAATTATATGATGTATCTATTTTCCCATTTTAGAAGTCATGCTTAAAAGATGCTTGAAATAACTAATTATTAGTTTTCAGAGAGATCATAAAAGATTTTGCGCTTTACTTTGCTATTCAAATTGATCTTAGGAGTAATTGATTTTTAATTTTGATTTAAAAAAATTAGAAGAAATGTGTATGTACTCACCATAGGGAAGCTGAGTGACATAGTTATACGGTTGATGCCATTGCGGATAATATTCTGTTTGTGTCTCGTATTCGTTAAGCATGTTGTTCGATATTATCACTGTCAGATGCTTTTAATTTCTCACAAACTTATACTACTTAACTTTAGAAAACGTTTACCTCGAATTCGAAACTTAAACTCATCGATCAATTATTATATTTTATTTTAAATCTTAATTGTTTTGTGATGGGATTATTATATCTTGGGGTTATTATATCTTTGGATTGTTATATCAATTTTTGCGACGTTTCAAAGAAAAACCATCATCTAATTGTTATGTTTTATTATTTCTGTTTATTATATCTTATTATGTTTCTTTCAAGTATGGAAATTTCTCCAAATCTTGAACTTTATTTGAACGGGATAAAATGTACTGCTGCGATTCGGTTACTTTATATTATTTAACACAGATTTGCTTTATTTTGCTGATGATGGTCTGTTGCACTTGAATCTTGTTCCACAAAACGAAAATTATCGTTGATGTATATGTCTCATTACTCCCTTATCTTTTATCATCAATTTTTTTACTTTTCGCGGAACATCTCTTCTTTAATTTGCGAGTATTGCGTTCAACAAGGCTTTCAGCGCAGACCCGACGTAAGCTGAAGTCGCTATATTTACGCTCGTTGTCGAAAAGTGCAGTTCCGATGCAATTTCCAGATGTGCAGTCAAAGGGACACTGAGGAAACGAGATTCGGTGCGGTACCGATCTGCTACCCTCCTTGCATACGACGCGTGGTCTCTCCCGTTGTTTCGCTGTCGGTGGTAGTAGACGCAAGTACGAGTGGGTGTATCCGTGGAGACCTGTCGCGATCCGATTCCGTCGAAACGGGCGGAGCTCGGTTTGGTCTACGCCCCTGAGAAGAGCCCAGGATTCAATTAGTAAATTGAAGGAGCTCGCCGTCGACGAAGTGGGGTATGATTTAGGGTATGACGTTCCTCGATAAAGGCATCCTCCCTCTGCCGACTCGCGTCGACACGATCCGCGACGTATCTTCATCGTCGTCGTGCTCGTCTCTTTTTGCCAATCAATTCGAATGAACGCGAATGCTCCGACTGCCGGTTCTTCATCGTGTAATAATATTAGCCACGAGATATCGGTGCGATACAGTGTGAGGCTGCGACGCAAATTAGACGGCACTCGCGTATGGTGCAAAGAAAAGAGAGGGAAATTTTCTTGAAGGGAAACGAAAAATATTGTCAGATTGACCTTTGACTTGTCGACATCTTTTTAATTAAATACTTTTTTTAACTAAATGTTCTATGAGACAAATTTAATGATGTATATCTAAGTTTTTTCCTATATATAAAAAAAGAAGCGTTTTTTATCGTATTATAGTGACAACTATATGATATACAACTGTATAAGTTATATGCCCGTATTCATAATCAGAGTATTAACTTTAACTTAAGGCTTCCTTAAATTTATCTTTAGATACTCAGTAGCCAATATGTAATAATTCGTAGAGCATCTGAAGATAAAAAACGACAAAAATAAGGTGTTAATATTCGGTATATACAAACAACGATTTATCAGTTGACAAATTTATTTATAAAAAATTCATATTAAACACGAAACGTTTCGACGCTGGAAAAGTTTCGATGCAGTCCTCTCCAGTCTCAAATACATAAAGATATCAAAATACAAATTAAATAATCTCTGAGCTTTAACTCAGATGTCAAATGTTCTCTCTTAGTCAATTATAAAATAAAGGAAAGAAAATTGTCAAATAAAGCTGTTTCCGCTTCGTGATTGTAAATTTCAGATGCCTTACAAATATATAAGACCTGATTATGATAAATACAGACATTATTGTACATACAATATATAGAATTAATGTACATAGTTGAATAAACCATTTTGTAGTTATTACAAAAGCTAAATGATTACAAGAATTAATTATTATCAGTCATAGTTATTCGGTCTTCTAGTGTAATAATTATATATAAAATAGTTTATTCAATGTAC